TTTCGCAGTACTTTAAATTCTACTCACTGTATTTTTGTTACCATGAACAAATACTAGTAATTATTCGCCAACTTTCTTTTTGCTGCACCTGCCGGCACCGTGAAGGTACAGTTCTGCGAACATGTCCATTTTTCTCGGACCGCAAAATTTTGCTACCGCAAACATACATGTAATGTGATTTACAGTAAACATGTAGCTCCAGGGCTGTGTATGTAAATTACTGTACTTTATGTTTGCGGTGGCAAAATTTTGCGGTCTGAGAAAAAAAATTGACATGCTCGTGGAACTATATGTTTACAGTGGTGACAGGTGCAGAAGAATAAAAGTCGGCGAATTATTTGTTCGCGGTAATAATAAAATTCTCAGTGCAAGTGACCGCGAATATAAAAGTACTGCGAAAAAATCCTGATGTACAGTAGTTCTGTATCTTTGGTGTGTAGACTTTGCTGATGTGCAGGCATGTGTAAAAGCATGAAGTGACTGTACAGAATTGCACTAAGGTTCAAACAGGTTACTCAAGTCTTGTAGACCAGATGTTGAAAAAGGGTGGTTTAAATCGGTAAAGCTGTGTTCCACGGTATCACCTTCCAACGCATTTAGGACGGGTTGATAGAAACTGGCCACTAGAAATCAACAACTCTTTCAGAGGAATTCGTAAAGGTGACAGTCAATGGCAGTACAATTTACACTATTCTGTAGTGCTGTGGAGTTAGCCTGTTTGAACATACATGTACATGTAATACTAATAGAAGAGTGTAGTTGAATAAAGCATTAAAATTTAAATATCAACCATATGTGACTTTACACTTCAACATGCAAAGACCATGCAATAATACATTAAAGGCATCTAGTGGAATTTCAGGGCGGCAAACCTTAAAATGTTCTGGATGAGGAAATCTGCCTGATGTTGTCATTTACTGCCATTTCTTGGCACATTTTGGCATCATTTCAAACTTGAAGCATTTGAAATAGCCCAGAAACAAGCTACACGAGGCACCTCTTTATTTTTTGTCTATACTGCCCATACATAGCTAGAACCAGCCTACGATACAAAACAAGCAACCATTTTCTGTAAGCAACATCGTAATTTTACCTCACAGATATCAGTATGCTATGGGATAGGGTAACCATTGAGTCAACTTAACTACATTTAAAAGAATGACCAGAAAATTTGACTTTCTTTGAGAATCCAGTTTTGCCACCCTGAAATTGCCTTGGATGCCTTTAAAGCTAAAAAAACCCTTTTTGTCTGGTCCAGTCTACAAGACTGCAGGCAGTAACAGTTTTACATACAAAAATACATCAAACAGGAAAGACAAGGTGCCATCTGAAGAATGGAGAAAACGCTCAAAACCTCTCACAGTCTCCTCTAAATCTCACAAGTATTGCACTCTGTTTTAATATTTCACAGTTATACAGTTGTCTTCTCCATTTTCCAGACGCCAGGCCATACTGATCTAATTTTATGGATGACATCTGCATGCATTGATTTTTTCCTGTTCTTAAAAAAAAAAATCAGCCTGGATACCATCTTTCGTAGTCCATGGTAGCTGGTGACAATAGGGAGCCAGCGGTAACTACGGAGGATGGCACCCTGGCTGCCGAAACTCCACGGAACTCAAGAACTCAGTAAAATGCCGACACAGCATGTGCTGGCTTGTCGTAAAGTCTATCGCAAATTCACAATTATAGTCTAGCTTTGTATTACTGTACATGTGGTTTAGCAACATTCTTTTTTGGCTGTTTTTTTTTTTTCGCATCAGTTTTGGGTTCTCTTCCAAAGGATGTCATCTAAAAAATGAAGTCAGTATGGCCTCACCTATAAGTCTGAAACATATCTGTAAGTTACAAGTACAATGAAATAGAACTTTGTTTCTATCTACACTATGCTGAAAATGTATCAGTTTGAGAGTGATTGTACATGTACATTTGGATGTGCATCTACAATAATTATTGTTTACATTATTTTTTTTCCAGTTCTGGATACATGCACCAAAAGATTTTTTTTCTCAGAAACCTCTGTATTTCCAGCACTTTACTAAGTATTTTGTACAATTCTGATTCAGTAACAAATTTTGAGAGGCACTGATTCATGTATCATAGCTATGAAGGTGCAACATAGAAAAATATTTTTCTGTTGGTGATATGAAATGTAAGCAAAGTAGACTCAGTTATTAAAATGTTTACCTTAACTACATGTACTATACAAGGACCCTTCATACAATCAGGGCTTATAATCCGAAACAACAAAACTTCTTCAATCGGTTAGTAGACAGCATTTAGAAAAAAAGTTAGTTAAGAAACATTTACTTACTCTAGTAAGAACATATTAAAAAGACTTCACCTAATAAAAGTATGTATACTACTCAACCAACAAAACTTACTACAAAACCATATACAGCATCATAGAAATGACAAATGATGCCAACAAAACCAGCTGACTAAATGTCATATATGATAGGTTCGGAAACATGAAAAATTTCAGACAACATTTTTAAACTCTTACACAGTTATGTGTGATAGTTTCACAGCAACAGAACATTTGCATCATGGGAAATATGAGAGCAGCAAAATGTGGAGACTGCCAGGCCTGCTGGAACTTTTCTTCTACAAAGATTACAGCAAAATGTATACATTCAAGTCTTCATCAAAAGATGTATAAAGATTGTATTTTGATTATTTCACAGTTTGGTGTCTTTATATCTGCATGCACCGAGCTGTTTAATTGTTTTTCAAAATGACTAATATAGACACTGGTATACAAATGTAGATATGAAATTGTTTCTTGAATATTAACAGCAACCTTTACAGCAAAAACCATTATAATTCAGGTTTTCACAACTTCAACTTATATATAATGATAGAAGTCTATGATGCATAACTTTGTGTATGTACTACATAGTAAATGCAACAGTATTGAACAAAGTAGATGCAAAAGACTGAACAGTAACAAAGACTGAGGCACCTATATTTCTGTGACAATTATCAGCTACATTTTCCAACAATTTGAGGAAATTTATGAATGAAGAACATCAGGGTTTAGACAGGGCTCTAGCCAGCCCAAATTTTTTTTTTCTGGCACCCTGGGTTCATGATTGTACCTGGGGGTGAGAGTGCTTGCAATCATTTGGTGGCAAATTTTAGATTTCCAAACCCTTAAAAACACAGTTTCCCACATTTTGTGAGAAAAATCATGGGGTTGAGAGTGGTTGTTTGGGTGCTTTTTTTCCATTATATTGTCAATTTTGGCCATCAAAGTTGACGGATTGGTTTCGGATTTTTTCGGTCACATGCCGCAAAGTTCCTGCAATGGACCAAAAAAAAGGGTGCAGGCTAGAGCCCTGGGTTTAGGAATGTCCTGATATACATATATGTACGGTGTGGTGACACAGAAGACCGAATTCCCAAGACAAAGTGAGCTCAAACAGATTATCTGTACATACTGGCTGATCTAGTCTCCTCTAATCTTTGCGAAACATGGGATTATCTAAAAAATTCTTTGTTTGTTTTTCCTCAGCTTTTGAGTGATCTCTCGGGTCCTTGATGACGCTACTTCTCATGCTAGGGGCTTAACGTATGTCCTCCTGTGACAATGCGTTCAACACTGTATAACTTCAGACAGGGCCTCTATACAGGTCCACACAGATACCGCTGCGTTACGCACCCCTATGCTAAGCTCACAAGTCCTAATTCCACATAATCCAATGTCAATTATTCCAGCCGAGTAGTCAAAGTCTACTTCGGTCCCTTTCCTGGAGGAATGTGCTCTGCGATCTGGGTCTCTGTCGGCGACATGCGGGACCCTCCACAGTGAGGTTCTGTTTGTGAGTACTGCATAGATCCACCGCACTGAGGACAACTCAACTGGCACTAAGACTACGGCACGGCCCAGCCTACCATAATACTGGCTACTGACTAGGGGTGGGTACTGATTCGGCTGGACCTGAATAACGTCCAAGAACCCAGTCCATAAAACCTGAAAGTTGTGAACTGATACTTTTTTTTGGGACAAAGTAAACGGTTATATTTTGATATCTTATTACTGGCAATGTAAGGTAAAAAAAATCCAGAATGAACCTAGTTTAGCCTAAATTTGTATGCAGCGTGCAGTGAAAATAACTTAAAAAATTGTGTAATTCCAGTGTAATACAATTTCACCAGTGAGCTTGCACCCAAAATTGGAGCTGTGCACCCAATTTTGGGTGCACTGGTGCATTTATGTTACTAGGTATTTTTGTGCATATCAAATAATGTCTAATAGTAATACAGTAACAGGATATTCTTGGCATCTAAGTGTCAGAAAAAGAATATCTTTGTTGTAGCACTTTTTGAAGTTTTTTTGTAGTAAGATTTTGAAGTTAACTCCCATTTCAGATTCAAGCTCAGAAGAGGAGCAGTAAGATCTGTTACATAGGTTTTGTTTTATATGGTACACCCAAAAAATGTTTGAGCACCTAATTTTTCAGGTTGGGTGCACCAGTGCACCTATTCCCAAAAATGAATTTCGATCCCTGAACAAATGTAATTCAAACACAATTTGACCTCTCTTGCTCTCCAAAATATGATATCAATAGTACGACAGTAATCATGATCAGGCCCAGATCAAGCTGAACCGGTACCCACCCCTATTTCTAACCTTCCAATCTTCAAGGCTGGCCACATAAGGCCACACCAAGTAAATTTTATGGATGACGTCCGCGCGCACATTGATCTTGGCATGTTCCTAGAAAAGAAGAAATTCCGCTTCCTGTAACTATGACCAAAGAGTCACGACAGTGCCGCAAGTCGTCAGATTGACGTGAAACCCGTAGAAGAAAGTGTCTATTACCATCCTGTTTTCACTGTCCACGGTTCCACCTGATTTATTGCTGTTTTGATGATGAATAAAATACTTCTGGCTTGTTACACTGTGTCACCTCAATCAATTCGTGTCCTAACATTTGTCGTCTCTTAGTATATTTCTAATCTAGGCATCTTGTTTTTTAGGGCCCTTCTTGTTTTTTTTTGCCCTCTCGCATTAGATTTAGGGGCCCCAAAGGACGTCATCCATAAAATTTACTTGTTGTGGCCTTACTACAAAATGTATGGCACTCAGCAATCCAACATCCGTACAATACCCATCAATTAGACAGTAAACGACAATCATTTCTACACCTGCCTTTTGACTATCAGCATTTTTGTCAAATTCTCAATTCTAAAAATACGGCAAAATGCCCTAGCAATGACAACCACGTATTGTTTAAAAATCAGACATGTTTGGGTTTAAAAAGAATGTTTTGTTTCAACATCACCATGATTGTAAAAGTTAAACTTCTGCAAGTCAAAGATTTTTGCTTCACACACTGACAGTGACTAAAACTATATTTGCTAAATTTTCTGAATTCCATTGGATTCTTTCTGCTTATTTATGCCAGCAGGTAAGACGATGTACAAATATACCTTCGATGTGCAAATATGACCTTGTCGTGCCCTGATATGGAGCTTGGCACCCTAGCCTCATAGCAGGCTATAGAACTGGGGGTTTGTCTTCAGCTGTTTTTTGTTTAGCCCGATTCTAAAAACAGGGGTAATTCAACTGGGCCAGCTATGTTGTAGTATATGGAATCAGAAAATAACACATAAGAGCTCCCAAAGACCCTGAAGACCCCCAAACCCCCAGTTTTTGGCATGCTATGGAGGCTAGAGCTTGGCAGCCCAGGTCAGGACTTAGACTCGTCTGAGCGGTAGACTTCACCGATGTCTCAGACATACCTGACATAGTGCCTGGTCTTTTCTGTCAACAACCCTTCCCAGTGATGATATGTTGGGGCTCAACACGGTTAAATATCATGTCAACTGCCAAAGGCAGACACAAAAATGTTTGCAGATGCCTGAAGCGATAACGATCATTCTCCATGTACCAACAAGGCCAACTGATGGCAAACTTCTGACTGTGTGTAATCATGATTTTTTTTGTGTGTGTGGTTTTTCTTATCCCATGCTGCTATACATGTAGGCGTTTGTGATAGCATTTTATGATTGAAACTAACTGCATGTAAAGATTTCTGACACAACTATCACATATCTTCCACCAAAATCAACAGTGGATGACTCAACATTTGAAAATGTTAACCAGGAAATTATGTTAATTCTCTACCTCTTCTCTTGCTCAATTCTTTCCTTCTTTTCTAGCCCATCATCCATCTTCTACGGCCATTCCATCTTTCGTCTTCACTCCTTCTGGGAAGGCTGTTCCATCAGTAGCCTGCCCCCCAGGAAGGCTGGACAAACTGCTCTGCGGCACTCATCTCGATCTTCTCCCAGTCTCCATCACTGTCCTCTGAATCCTCTTCCTCTTCTGCTTCCTCCTCCTTCTTCTCATCATCATTGTCCTTCTCTGGCTCTGGAATAACAGGTGAACAACATTGTTGTCAGTTGAGGTGAAGGCTTTAACACTAGCTACACATGGGGGTTGTGCTAGCTGTCTTGTTTGATTGTTTGCTTAGGGTGTCCATTAGTGTGAATTTCACACTACTCGTCCTGGAGTCTGCAGTGAATAATCAGATTAGTATTTGGACCATCGCACACGGGGGCATGCCCCTACTCTTTTCCGAAAGGTGTGGGTTCCGAAAGGTTCTTTAACGTGCGTGGGGTGTGGCTCTCCCCAAACATGGACCTCCATTTAACATCCAATCTGAGGGACATTCCTAACCAAAGCTAGGTACTCATTTACACCTGAGTGAAGTGAGGAAAGTCGTGTAAAGTGCCTTTCCCAAGGGCACAAGATCGGTGACAAGGTGGGGTTTGAACCCGGGATCTCTTGGTTCTGAGCCGAAGACGCTACCGCTACGCCACACGACCCCACCTTGTCTTGGGTTTAGGTAGTCAACTTGCTGATGATTCTGCTACATGGGTGAATCACCAACTCTGCACTTTATAATTTGCACCATTGCAGACCGGAGCAAGCCCTGACCAATTTTCGAAAGGTGTGGTGGGTTCTTTAACGTGCGTGGGGTGTGGCTCTCTCCAAACACAGGACCTCCATGTAACGTCTTATCCAAGGGATGTCCCTAACTGAAACTACAAGGTACTCATTTCCACCTGAGTGTAGTGACAAGCCCTGAGTGGTAAAAAGCAGTACTGAGACAATGTACAGTACAAAAACTAGCCCACACCACACATCTGCTTGGAGATTAAGAGAGTGCCATCTTGGTATATAGCTCTGCAATCTGATTGGTCCATGACTTTATCATATTATATTAATTTTCTTATTCTAATTGGAAGTGGTCAGAGTTCTGTTAGAATAAATTTAGCTTTGACAAGTTAGTTCTCTGACAGCTGCACATTAAATGCGTCACTAAACTCACTACACTGTAAATGTGCCCCTTACGACATAATTGTTACCCATGAAAACTGTCATGAGGAATCACACATTGCTGTTATTTGCGCCATAGTTCACACCAGAATACCACCCAGGTTGCAGGGTACGGTAAATACTGTAAATCACGATTTTTTTCATGGTACAATGTGGTTTGCAGTTTTTTGTGGTACTGTACTGTGGACTACTTTTAAAATTAGTACTGTGAAGAAATAATTTGCTGACTTTCTTTTATTCCACCTGCCGCCACCATTTATTTATGATGATTTACCACATTTGTGGAAGGATTGACATAACAGGTGACTATCACCTTTTCAAAGATGTCAAACCTGAGACCAGACTGTAATGTTTGAACCACTCACACCGGGAAGGTCCCCTACTCTTTTCGATAAGTGTGGTGGGTTCTTTAACGTGCGTGGGGTGTGGCTCTCCCAAACACGGGACCTCCATTTAACGTCCTATCCGAGGGACGTCCCTAGCCGAAGCTAGGTACTCATTTTCACCTGAGTGAAGTGAGGAAAGTCGTGTAAAGTACCTTTCCCAAGGGTACAACGTCGCGGCGCATGTTCGGACTTGTTCGGGTACGACCCGGAATCGAACCCGGGTCTCCCCGTTTCATAGTCCAGTGATGTACCACTACACCACACGACGCCACCATGAACCTAGAGTTCTGAGAACATGTCCATTTTTCTCAGACCGTGAAGTTTTTCTACAGCAAACATGACGTGATTTACAAAATGTACAGTAAGCCACAACATGTACTGTAGTTGTCTTTGTCCTTGCTCTTTGACCTACTGCCCCTTCAAATGACTTTTGTATATTTTGGTAAAGTAGCTCTGTGAAAATAGCAAAACACAACAGTTTTTGTGTGCAACAAGAAACAAAACAAACAAAACTTTTCCACAATATCAACCTCATAATTGGACATTGCAAACTTAACATGTTTGTATGAGAAGCACTTGTTCTTGAATCAAAGTTACTACTACATCAGGCCAGCCACACCAATTTAATTTCTTGGTTAACGGATTCGCCCCCTTCATTTTTGCCCTGAACAGTTGAAAACAGTCCTTTTCTTCCTAATTGTTACTGTTATTTCAACTTTCAATGCAGTAATTTCATTAAAAGTTCAAAATTGTTTTAATTTTCAACCAGCCTGGTGTGTGGCCTCAGTACATGTAAATTTCTAGCCTCCTTCGCAGTCTTGTTGGGCGTGGGCGTAATTTTTTCTGTGAGCGACGCGAGTAATATGCCGCCGCGAGGGACGATTTGCTGCCGAGGGACTTTTGCAACGGAGAGAAGGTTCCCGCGCTCCAACAAGACTGCTTCCAATCGGCGACTAGAAAGGACCTCGGATTAAGCCAGCCTTTCATAGAGGCTATTAACATGTTCGTGCAGGTCCAATTCACATGTTCGCGCAGGTCCAATTCACATGTTCGCGCAAGGGTAATTCACAGATACGCATGGAGCGCTCGCCTTTTGTCAACGGTTGGTTTTATTAGCTTGCGTTATAGTGGAAGGTTCCAACAGAGAAAGGTTGAACATTGGTAATGTTACAACAAAGGCATTGCTGTGCATATTTAAGCATCCCATGCAAACAAACCAAGACAAACTTTGCAGTACTATTTTTGCTGGTGAAATGTGCCATTCTTTTTATTACACAACTTGCTGCGGAGCGGTGCGTTACCCTCCTATGACCAGTGAGATCAACCCGCCACCAAACAACATGGCGGCACTTTGTTTATCTGTCCACGTCCCCCAGCAATATCGCTTAGCTTGCGGGTTCCTGTGTTAAAGTTGTTTTTCGTAGCAGCAATGACTACGGGATTTTGTCGAGTGGATAGGGCTCGGTTTTCGGGATGGTTGGCGTTCTACCGACGGGTTGATCGGCGACCGCTAGAAAGTTGCAAGTTTCGGCTCGTCGAGGAATGGGGCGTAAACACCTCCCTGCACTGGTGGCGTTTATTGCGGGAAGTTCACACATCCATGCCAATCGCTCCTAAGTGTTTTTTGATAGCCCTTTTAACTCGCCGATTGGAAGCAGTCTTGTTGGAGCGCGGAAACCTTCTCTCCGTGGCAAAAGTCCCTCGGCAGCAAATCGTCCCTCGCGGCGGCATATTACTCGCGTCGCTCACAGAAAAAATTACGCCCACGCCCAACAAGACTGCGAAGGAGGCTATAAATTTCAGCAAATTGTCAGTTTTAAAATTAAACAGGTGTCACATTAAGATATATTGGAACAGTTGTTGTTGTCTTACTGTATACAACACTCTGAACCATCTTCTGTGCCTTTAGTAAGAAAGGTGTCAATGAAAGTGTCAAACATACTGTACTGAACAACATCCCTGGCCTGTTCAAATGTTTCCTGTATTGTCCAACATGTCAATCTGAGTTAAAAGTACAGTATGTCTCACTGATGACTGCAGCAAATATAAGCATCCTTGACATCCATGCAAGTACACAGTAAAATTTTATAGAAAACAGCATGACTTTAAAAATCATCCTGCTGACTTACAGCCAAATACCAGCCACCATCGTCAAACCTCTCAACCAACCCCCAAATGTTTAAAACATTTTGCAACAATCGGCTAGCGCAGCTGAATAGTAGCCAAATTTGGGCCGACTTACTCCTAACTTGACCTCCCTTATCCCTATGAACCTGCTAAGGCCACACCAATTTGATTTTTTGGTTAACAGATTTGCCCGCTTCATTTTTTTCTGATTTGCAAAAAAAAAAAAAAAAAATTCTGAATCAACTGCAAAATGCTCATATTTTGCCCTGAACAGTTGAAAACAGTCCTTTTCTTCCTAGTTGTAACAGTTATTCGAATTCCATCTTTCAATGCAGTGGTATCATTTAAAGTTCAAAATTCATTGTTTAAATTTTGAACCAGCCTGGTGTGTTGACTTGGCTCCTATCGTACCATTTTGGGCCATAATAAGATGCCTAGGCCTGTTTTTATTTTTATTTCTTTTCGCCCGCCCACTCCCTTATTTTTCTAGAAAAATCCGTTAACCAAGAAATTAAATTTATGTGGCCTAAGTTTCATCATGATCTAGAAGGTTAGTACACCCTACCTTGATCATCCAGCCCCACAGCTGCCAGCCTCTGTGTGATCTCCTCAGCTTCGTCCTCTGCACTCTGGAAGTCACACCCCACATACGCACCGTTCCTCATGCAGTACTCCAGGAAACTGCAAGAGGGAGTAGATTGTAGTAGAAAATGTGTGTTGAAGCGTGTGAGTTAACAATTTATGTCCTCTATCATTTCCATTAATTCCATTGCAATTTCAGGGCGGCAAAATGAAAAATATTCAGGATTAGGAAATCTGGAATCCATCCCCATAAGCTATAATGTATTTGCTGGTTCTACGGGTGGCGGTCACTCTTGACAAATTTAAACTTATCATTATTGTGAACAAATAATTCACAGCTTTTTTTTTCAGACTTCCTCTTTTTTGCACCTGCTGCCACTGTGAATGTATACAGTGTAATGGAAATTTGCAACAGACAAGTAATGTGAATTACTGTTACAGTATCTCATTGGCCACTGTGCCATTACTTACCTGTTCCAGTGCTGGTCTCTGCTCAGAACGTTGGGGTTTCCCACTACAATCAGCAGGGCCTTGCTGCGAGTGATGGCGACGTTAAACCTCTGTATACAGAAGGAGGGATGAAATATTATAACTTACGGCCACACCAATTTAATTTGTTGGTTCTCGGATTCGCCTCTTCATTTTTTTCTGATTTGCAAAAAAAAAAAAAAATTCTGGTTCTGAATCAACTCAAAAATGCTCATATTTTGCCCCCAACAGTTGTGGAAAGTCCTTTTCTCCCTAGCTGTTGCAGTGTTTCCATCTATCATTGCAGTGGTTTGATTAAAAGTTCAAAATTCATTGTTTAAATATTAACACAACCTTTTGTGTTGACTTCATGGCTCCTATCATAGCATTTGGGGCTATAATAGGATGCCTAAACCTGTTTTAATTTTTATTTTTTTTCGCCCTGTCGCTTCATGTTTTTTCTGACAAAATCCGAGAACCAACAAATTAAATTGGTGTGGCCTACAGTTACATTAAACATCAGGTCTTGCTATTGGACCACCTATTCTGAAAGAAGCTCCAACCATGTACAGTTTTGTACTGTTACATCTCTTGAGAGTTGAGGAATGAACTAAAAAGTCATTCTAACCTAGAAAGGTAACATTTGCAAAGCAAATGCATAATGTTTACCATTGAATATGGTCTCCTCTTTTATCTCTTACTCAAACACATTCATATACTAGTATATGGTGACCGGAGTCTAAATCCCTCCTACTATAAAATTGCAACATTGTGTAACCCAACACCAGTTACCATGGTGACAGACAGCCTGGTTCAGGTCATTGACCAGGACTGGTCAGTGTTTGGGACAGAAGAAGAAACAGCAAAAACAATATGTTTTCCTTTTGGTAAAAATAATAAACACACTGATTTAGGTTTCACACTGAAGTTTCTTGTGAAAGGTTCATCATGGTCTCACCTTGGGGTTCCTAAGGAAGCCCAGTTTGAAGTCCACGTCCATGGGGAGGAAGTCCGGGTTGCTGCGGACTGTGGAGATGATGATGATGCGCCTCTCCTCTCCCTGGAACTCCTCCACTGATCCCACCTTGATGTTGCTCAGGTGATGTGCCTTCATCATCCGCTGTATCTTGTTCACCTGGAAAACAATGTTGATGGGAGTAATCTAATATGTTTCTATTCTGAAATGTATACATGTAGTACTTTTTCAGGAAGCTAAGTCGTGCATTTACTAAAGAGCAGCAGCATGATAGGGCTAGAAAATTGAGTTATCTCAGGATTATACAAGTATATAGAATGTCACAGACTGTCTTTCAACCAGTGTAGAGGTGTTTTTATAAATCTCTAAAAAAATGAAAATTTGACTTGAAATGAAAAAAAAATGAAGCTGTAACAGAACACATAACCCAGGGTTAAAAGTTCAAAAATTTTGGGGGGGTTGAATACCATTATGACCCCCAACTGGCTTTGGGACTACAATGTATATGCTTGGATTGTGCCAAAAGTGCTGTTAACTTCCTTCTGTACCTGACCCCTACACTGTAAAAAAAATTCTGAAGAGCCTCAATCTGAAAAGGACGTTTAAAAAATCCAAAGAGCATGATCCTACTGACCTGTTTCCTGTAGGGTGATATGATCCCGATCTCCTTCTCAGTGATCTTGATGCCGAGTCCCTTGGCGTCCAGCAGGTCCCTGGTGTACCTCAGCACGGTCACCACCTCCTCTGGGTTAAAGAACGACGGGCTCCGCTCCTCCCGCAAGTCTTCTCCGACCACTCCGTGGAAGACGATCGGAAAGCCCTTCTTCGGGAGAAGATCCAGATCACAGAGAGATTCGCGGGCGAGCTTATCGGCACACGGTATGAGCTCGCCGTCGTAGAACGCTATGTTGGGCAGGCGGAGGATGGCCGGGTGGTTGCGGTAGTTGCGGAGGAGTTTGGTGACGAAGCGGGGGTCGTAGGGCACGGCGTGGCTTCCCGGAGCAACGGGCTTCCGCTGGTAGAGGTCACAGGTCATCATGTATCGCTCCAGCAGAGACACGTCTGATGGGAAGAAGGATACCATACATGAGAAAGGTCATCTCAAAATAATGTAAAACTCTACAGTAACTATACAAAACTGGTTGTAGAAGACTAAAATGGCTTGGCCATGTACTAAGAATAAAAACCAAATCAGCTTTAAATTGGGAGACTCATTGGGTAAAGAAGCAGAGACAGACCCAAAACCAAAAAAGAACTGTGAGTTGTGACCTGGTGCCCATGGGATTATCCTGGCGATCAGAAGGTGGCCAAAGACAGACCCAGATGCAAGAAAAAAGTCATGACCTATATCATACATTGTATGTATGTCTCGCAAGGGATGAACAGGATAAGTAAGTAAGATGCATAAGGAAACACCACAGCAGACAGGGTGCCAACGATATGTTTAAAGCCCCTGTTACACATTCACGAATTTGGCCTCCCTATAGCCGAATGCCCCCCAATGTCCCGCTAATTCGGCTATTATTTGGCTGTGCCAGCTTAATGTTTGAATTGTTAGGTTTTTTCCATCTACATGTACAATGTATCAATGCACTCTCGTTTGATGAAAAGTTACAAAATTCAATGTTTGAATGAAACCAGCCTGGTATGTTGACTTCATGGCTCCTATAGCATTTGGGGCTATCAGAAGACGCTTAAATTCTGTTTTAATTTTTTTTCCCTGTCGCTTCACATTTTTCTTAAAAAAAAAAACTTTTTTGAGAATCAACAAATCAAATTGGTGTGGCTTTAAACTCTAGCACAACCTCTGTACTGCAAGTACCAGACAGTGAGTAGAAGGCCCCCGCCCCAGATCAAGCAAAGCTAGCCAAACAGAGATAACTGGTGTCATCAGCACAGCACTATTTGCCCTTGTACTTATCTCCAGTATAGTTGTACTTGTGGTGATCAATTTTCACCGTAGGACAGATTTGGGTCAGGTAAAGACTAGGATGCACACACAGACAGGCACTTAACAAACTGTAGGATGTATTCCTTACACAGGAGCTATTGAACACCCTGCTCAACACGAGTGATACCTGTATTGACAGTGGGTCAGGTGGACATACAAAAGGTGCTGATAGGACTCAACTCCTTACCTAGTGTTGTTCTACAGAGACAGCGAGGCCTAGGAAAAAGAAAGTTGTGTTTCTTGTTCCACAACCGACCCTTAAATATTCGCTTTTAAAGTCAACTATATTTTTAGATTTTATGAATGTACAAAGTTCGTTCGCAACATGATGTTAGAATAAGCCTCGCAATTCAGCCATCATAGCTGCCAGGAGGCTTGTGTGTACTTTGTCTTTTTTTGTTCTTGTAATAAACCATTCTACTACTACTACTCACAGAACCCCACCAACCCTAGCCTATTTTTTGGATATCTGTATCTGTATCTGAATCTGTATAGCCGGTATAACCACCCTTTGACATAACACACCTCCAGCTTTGCAGGCATGTGTTACAGTGGCAGCTAGCTATAGTCATCGAACGACTAAGTCTTGTTACAGGTAACCCTTGAACATCTAACTCTAAACACTATTTAAAGCTATCTAATGACGATGACCATACTGTGCTTGCTGGCAGCAAGTTCCACTCTGTGATAGTTCTACGAAAGAATGAGTTTTTGAACACCTCAATCCTTGGTTGATAACTCTGGTACTTGAAGGCATGACTTACAAGTAACATCTGTGTCCATAATGTCACCAGGGTCCATAATATCGCCACCTTGAGAAAAAGTGTGCTTAAAGATATTTTTACTGCAACATACCCTAGGTATGTACATTTGAGGTGTGCAGGAGTGCATACCAAAAGTATGTTGCAGTAAAAATATCTTAAAGCACACTATTTCTCAAGGTGGTGATATTATGGACCTTGGTGATATTATGGACACGGATGTTACATGTAGTCTACATATTTCTTTTAAGTTATTCTTTTCTGAGCTGGTATTTGGTACTTAGTAGTTCGGGTATATGTACATCCACCAGTTTATTAGTCATTTATACATCATGCATATCAGCCGATGGTAAGGCTAATAATAATAGTATAGAATTCATTTAACACATTTCTAGACTCCAATTTTTCAATCAGTAAATCAGGTGAAATATTTGTCCACAAGCAAACAGGTAGAAGGGTCCTTGAGAGAGTCCTATAATGGCATTGTTAAATTTTATTTGTTGGATCATTTTTGCCGAAATCTAAAAAAAAAACTTAAATCCCTACCAACCGACCCTATTTGTTAAGGACTGAAACCGGAAACACAACATTAATTTTCCTAGGCCCAGTACAATTTCAAAGCAAACAAGTAGACTACTACAAGCTGTGAGCTGCCTGACAGTGTGTGAATCTACATGTAAGGTCGGACAAATGCTGAGGAGACAGTTTTTGTCATGTCTATAGACTCTGGCCACCTTGTCTGTGTAACAGTTTAACAGAATGATGTTGGTTAAGAGACTAGACATCTCACATACACTAGAAGAAATCCCTTTCAAGTAAACTGCTATTTATAACAGAAAGCAGAGGACTGCTGCCAATACAGATAGCATTTTAAACTTTGTTCTCCTTCTAGTCTTAGCCTTACCAGTGTACAAAATACCTTTTTGAACCAGGTTACCCAGTGGGCAACCTACGGCAAAAATTAGGTTGGCCATCAGAATTTTAGGTTGCCCCACCTATAAGTTACTACTTTCCTCAAATTAAGTAATGTTACATAGTTTTTACATAAGCCTTTGACAATATTTCTAACAGCCTTTAGGTAACTGATACTAGTAATAGCCATTAATACCTAAAATTAAAAAGTATCTGCCGGCTACAGTGGTGCAAGCCAAGTGGGCATGATTTGGGGGGGGGGGCATTCTTGAAATCCAGGTAGCACACTGGGCTACAAAAAATAGGTTGCCCGGGGCAACTCAGTTTATTGGGATGCCTTTCATGCTATCAGCAGCTCTGTGACTCCAGACAAAATGGCTTTGACTTTGAAGACATCTAAAAACCTCAAACTTTCATCATTATTACTTTTTTGTAAAACTAGGAGTTTATAGGGAGATACTCCTTGGTAAAACCCAGTTATAGCTGAGAGTAGTACACAATATACCCACATAATATCTCAAGGTGAACCTACATAATATGCCACGACTTGCATATCCTACAATGTGTCCAGGGTATGGCTATTGGCCAAACCTCTCAGAAGCTCCCCCTAGCAGCAACATGAATTACTGCAAGTACAAATGGTCTGTGCAAACATACATTGTACCATGAAGTAGTACAATGCTGAACTTTATTTCAGTCACTTTCAAATGTAAACCCGCAAGAGTTACAGACACATGACCTTATTCACACGAAACAGATATGTGACATAAGCAATTGATCAAACGTGCCAGGGAGTTTACATGTACATGTCATGTATATTGCCCACCATCTCTGTTTAATGATGGCTGAAGTGCCTGGATAATTATACAGATGTATATGGCCTCCTTTATACCCCTGAAGAAAAAGTCGTGTGATTAGTCATTTCTTATACTGTTGAAGGTGATCGGTTTGATCCTTGTGTACCAATGTGTAATAAGGTTCAGCATTGTACTATGATTACTACCAAGTTGAACACAGATGAACTTCCATGATACCAAGAAGTGTTGGTAAGTCCTCCTGAAAGCTAAGGCCATACCAATTTAATTTCTTGGTTAACGGATTTTTTCTAGAAAAATAATGGATAATGGAGCAGGCGGGCGAAAAAAAATAAAAATAAAAACAGGCCTAGGCATCCTATTATGGCCCAAAATGGTACGATAGGAGCCATGAAGTCAACACACCAGGCTGGTTCAAAATTTAAACAATGAATTTTGAGTCTTTTAATGATACCATTGCATTGAAAGATAGAATAACTGTAATAACTAGGAAGAAAAGGACTGTTTTCAACTGTTCAGGGCAAAATATGAGCATTTTGCAGTTGATTCTGAATTTTTATTTTTATTTGCAAATCAGAAAAAAATGAAGCGGGCAAATCCGTTAACCAAGAAATTAAATTGATGAGGCCTAAGGTAAAAAAAATAAGCCTTTCTTCTCACCAAGTCCAAACTGTACTGCAAACGGTGACCTGAGGACTGGTCCCAGCTGTTTGGGGTCCCCGGCCAGAACTAGCTGTCCTCCGTCTGGAGTGTGAAAGTCCAGAAGTCCTGCCAGGGCGATCAGGCACTCAGGCTCTACAGCATGGCCAGCCTCGTCGATAAACACATGGGTGAAGTGGCCTGGGGGGAAGTTGGCTGAAGCAAGCCTGGAAAAGATGACAGAAATATCTGTGAATAATTTCATTGGGTCGTTGAATGATCAAACAGCAAAGTTCTTATTAAATTTCACAAACACTTGAATGTTTAAAAAGAGTGGACATTTCGATGATCATCTGTCATCTTCATCAGGACCACCTGATAGAGATAGTCATCAAAACGTTGGATCTTCACTCAGTTAAACAAGAGGTTGTAAATAAAGAACTTTGAAAATTCCTATTTGCTGGCAGAAATAGAATGGAAAATCTTCTGTGAAGACACAAAATAGTCCCACAACAAAACTGTACATATGTGGCCTGATTGCCAAAAAACCCTGGACTCGAATAAGCAAATTTCACCATGATATTTCGCTACCTCAACAAAAGTCAAATGTAGACACATGCATGAAAATGACATAGTCGTCATGGCCAGGGATTGTAGTTGTATTAGAAAAGTGGTCGGCTTAAACAAATCCCTTCATCATCATCCTCATCATTCATCCTCCGTAGAGGTGGAGCATACAAAGTTAGCTCGCCACAACTGTCTGTCATACATCACTGAGAAAAGTTCATGTCCCTCCAAGCCAGTTTCAGTTTCAATAAGTTTCTTAACTGTTATGTTTGGGCGTCCAACTCTTCTCTTACAGGTATCAGGGTTCCAGAGTAGAAGCCTACTGGCTGGTTCTTCACTACGTACTACATGACCGGCCAAGCTTAGTCGTCGACATTTGACTACTGAAGTTACATTTGGTAGCGAACCGTATAACTGTTCATTAGTAGTGTGTTTCCACCATGGTGTATTGAAAACCACTCGCAACATCTTCGTGTATGTTCCGTTTAGTTTTCTAGAATGTGACAAATCCCTTAATGCTTACAATGTACGTGTACATGTATGGTTGTCATGGCAAGACGGTCGGTTATAGAGATGTATTATGGAGGTGTACTATACTGACGTACATGTAGTTACTTGGGCATGTTTGACTGTAATTTAGCATTGTGCGACAACGTTACCACAACTATCTTACCTGCCAGCAGTGACCAGTGTGGTGACCAGCACCTTGTACTTCTGCAGCTCTTGTTTAGCAGGGAAGCTGTACTTGCCAGTCAGCCGGTCATAGTTACAAACATTCTGAGGAACAAAAACTCAACCATTATACATGTATCTTACACCACAAACCTGTTATCAAACTGGTGTTCTACCTAGCATCCTTCTTTCCATCCCAGAATTTTGCTGCTATGATGAACACAAATTTTGCCCAATCTGTCATCTTTGTCAATTGAAAAATAGCATATGGAAAGAGATGTTATTAAACTAAGGCCACACCAATTTAATTTCTTGGTTAACGGATTCGCCGCTTCATTTTTTGCAGATTTGCAAATAAAAATAAAAATCCAGAATCAACTGCAAAATGCTCATATTTTGCCCTGAACAGTTGAAAACAGACCTTTTCATCCTAGTTGTTACAGTTATTCCATCTTTCAATGCAATGGTATCATTAAAAGTTCAAAATTCATTGTTTAAATTTTGAACCAGCCTGGTGTGTTGACTTCATGGCTCCTATCGTACCATTTTGGGCCATAATACGATGCCTAGGCCTGTTTTTATTTTTATTTATTTTTCGCCCGCTCGCTCCATTATTTTTGTAGAAAAATCCGTTAACCAAGAAATTAAATTGGTGTGGCCTAAGGTTAGTCTCTTACTAATAGGCAAAATTTGCCCCTCAAAATGCAGGGTCAGGATTTCAAAATTTTCATTCATTCATTCATTCATTCCGCCCTTTCATTCATTGAATTCATTCCTCTCTCGTTTCCTTCCTTCCTTCAGAAATTAATTCATTCCTCCCTTCATTCCTCCTACCATTCATTCGAGTTTGAAACAGACCCAGCTATGTTCCTGTGCTTTAAAATTATATGTCATGTAACCATTACCACATCTTAAAAATTAAATGCAATAACATTTATTATCAGTGGTATTTCAGAATCTACCCTATGAATCAAAGGCTGCTCGTACCTTGATGTTAGAAGGCACATTATCCCAGGCGCGTGACAGAGCATTCAGCCTGATGAGCTGTGCTGCGGGGATGTGGGACAGCAGGCGCTGTGTCAGCAGGTCAGCAGCGCTGTTGGAGGGGGCACAGGCCAGCACCGTGCTGCTGGGAAGGCACTTCAGAACCTAGGCAGGGAAATGGGAAAAACAATGCAACCTTCATGTGACCTTCAAATTACAAAATTGATGTACTTCTAGTTCCTTTCTGCACATGCATGTACAGCATGTATATTTTACCTCCGTAGCCCTTTTCACACCTACTGTGTACCTCTGTAGAACTTGGGCCACTCAGTTGTGCAATCACTACACCAGTTATGGTGTGTGTGTTTAACTCCCATACTCTTTCCCGAATGCTGAGTGCTAAGCAGAGAAAGCAGTATGTACCATTCTTTAAGCCATTTGGTATAACTTGGCGGGGGTTGAACTCACATACCTACGCACCTGTAACCTTCAAATGCTAAGTCCATTTCAGGGGAGAATTCAAAGCAATCTAGGCTGCAGAATTCTACATCTTGGTTGCAGAATTCTACATTTTGGTTGCAGAATTCTACACCGAAACACCGAATTCTGCACAGAATTCTGGACCTGAAACACCGAATTCTGCATCCAAATGGACAAACCAATATTGTAGTACAGCATTGTAACCATGTACATTGTACTACGGTGTCATATTCTAGAGTCAAAATTCCTTCCTAAACTTGGCCACAAATATATATATTAGGCTGGGTACCATCCACATTTTCGCTCTGCAATGCTAGACAAAAAATCATGATTTTTTCAAGCGTTGCGGAGCAAAATACTGGATGGTACCCAGGCTAACAAATATACAAGGTTGTCCGGAATTAGAGTGTCTGTCCAGAATTAGTCCCCTGTATGTTTTCATCAGAATGAAGAAATCAGGAGAGAAAACCTCCCTGTACTCACCTGTTTGATGGCTTCCACCAGGGTGACAGTCTTGCCGGTACCTGGTGGACCAAACAGGAGGTATGGAGCGGGGCGGGATGAGCCTGCGACGATGTGACGTATGGCGAGGTACTGTTCAGCATTGTCCTCTATAGCACGGTCATACAGCCTGATGTAAACATAGCACCAGATTTGGTCAGTGTCAAAATTCAGGTTTGATGTAGCTTGGAGTGAAGTAAGCATATTAACTTATCTAATATTTAACTTGAATTGTTTGAGGTTTACAGTTTAAGAATGTAAGAAGGACCAATGATGACAATTGGTGAATTAAGTAAAAATAAAATAATTATTGTAAAGCACAAAATAGACAGATATTTGTCTCATAAGGTCACAACAATTTTGATTTGTTGCTTCTCTGATTATTTCAGAAAAATATGAAGTGACAAGCCTCTACGTCCTTTGCTATCCTAACAACCCCCTTCTCCACCCTCCAGGACAGACGGGAAACTGCAGCAAAAACTCTGCTCAAGCAAATGCGGCATGTCAGCCACACTTTGCATTCTTTGATGCCCTGCGACAGACACCAGAGCACACGGCGGTCCCTGAGAAATGGAAACCACATCTCCGTACCGAAGTTCAGAACTGAAAGACTGAAGAAATCTTTTCTGTTTCAGGCAATAAGCCTCAGTAACCAAGACTTGTAAATAGTAGTCCGCCTCTGTTTTAATGGACCTGACTTACAGAATTTTAAATCTATTTAATTTTAATCGTCAATGTTGTGCTTTTTAATGTGTATCTCTTTTCAAGCTATTTATGGGTTCACCACACCACGAAGTGGTGGTGAACCCATATTGCTTTTTCTGATGTTTCTTCTTCTCCTTCTCCTTCTCCTGCCATTTTTTAAATGGATTCAGCTTCTTCATTTTAGGGCCCAAGGTCCTGAAATTTGGTATGGAGGTACAGTGGGCAAATACCCCTAGGCGTTTTTTAAATTATTGTGATACAGGCTTTTAGAATGGTTTTATTTGAGTTTTTTGGCTGTGTTATAGCAAATGTATTACTGTGTTAGTGTGCCTTGTTTACCACGTTTGGGCATGAGTCATCACAATGGAATGCAGGGCATCAACCAATAGGCATGCAGCTTTTCTCTATTCTTCTTGCTGATTGGCTGTTGGGATTTAACTTGATTAACACCTGCACAGAGCATTTCCACCTGCACAGAGCATTTCTTGCTGATTGGCTGTTGGGATTAACTTGATTAACACCTGCACAGAGCATTTCCATACTGACAGTATGTCTGTATTCAAGTGTTTTTTCAAGCTTTCCTGCTCCAGCATTGGAATGCGGGGCATGGACGTTTTTTTTTTTATTTTGAAAATCAACAGTTTGCATTATGCAATTAAAAATCCTAACCAATAAAGTAGGGAATAGCTATCCAACTGTTGTTTTAGTTGTATTTTACTTCATATTATAGTTATATCAATGTAAATCATTGTTTTCCCTTGTGTTTCTCATTCTTTCCCTGCCATGTCGTAAAATGTGGTGAACCCATCGCTGTATTTGCTCCAAAGCAAATATTGGCCTTTCTAGTTTAACATGTAATCACTTGTGCAATTCAGCCAACCAATGCATATTGCATATTGGCTGCCAATCAATGTGAATAAAGCAGTTTCAGTTTCAGTTTCTATTGATAGGCAAAATTTTATACAATAAGAGCCATGAAGTCAACATGCCAGACTGGTTTAAAATTCAAACAATAAATTTTGAACCTGTTACTGCATTGTTAGATGAGTAACAACTAGCAAGACAAAGACTTTCCTCAACTGTTGGGGCCAAAATATGGCATTTTGCAGTTGATTCAGAACTTTTTTTTGTGTAAATCAGAAAAAAAGTACACTGATAAATCCGAGAACCAACTGATTGAATTGGCATGGCCTAATGTAGCAACAAAAATGTTGTAAGATATCAACATTGCTACAGTAACTACAAACACTTACTTGAGCTGTTCCGTGGGAGGGTGCAGTATGCCCTTTGACCCTGCTGTCTGTAGCGAGGGGAACAGCACGTCCCCCAGGCTGTGTTCCTCGGCCAGCTGGACAGCGCGGTGCTGTAGGCGCTGCGGCAGGCGGTTGAACGTGAAGCGAACGTCGAACTTCATCCCGTCAATAAACTTGTCCAACAACCTGAAACACATGAGATGGAAGTTACCCAACCTGCAACTATAATTCTTGCCAACAAGGGTTAGGTGTAACAAGTCGTTCAGTGTAAGCTGGTGTGCAAAGATGGTGTGTTATGCCAAAAGGCAGTTATATCGGCTATACGGATACAGATACATATACAGACTTAGTACTGTATACCTATATGTAAATCCACATTAGGTTCAGGTCCGAATTCAAGTTCAGAAGTTTTAGTTCAGGTCTCGACTTGAAAGTCCGGACCTAAACCCAGGACATACAACATACAAAATATGAGACCTCTCAGTGAATATTTCCCAATGGAAAATGAGGCATCTTTGCCGCAAAAATCTGTAGCGCACACTGCACTACCATGGTTTAGAAACAAGATACAGTGTATCCCAGAGGCCACAGTTGTGCCACCACAAAATACCAGAATGTAAACAAACATGGCTGACAGCTGCATTTGCAGCTTTTGATCGCACTCGTGTGGTGTAAAATATTTTGGAACCCCCACTTTCTGAATAACACTCTTGGTATACCAGTCATGTGGTTACAATGTAGTGTTGAGTAGCGTTGACCCAACTTACTTTGTAAAGAAATGACCAGATAATTGACTATTTCTATTGTCCTGATGTTACAAATAATTTAAGAAGAGGACACAGAGAGAAGACCTGTCCGTAGAGAATTTACTAACCGATAGTTGAAGCCCAGGCTGACACAGTCCCGTTCTATGTGGTGAACATAACCCTTGAACTCCAAGTTGCCCACTCCGTCTGGCCCTCTCTCCCGGGCAAACAAGAAATCTCCCCTCAACACGGAGGGTCGATTCTCTGCAAGACCTGGTACCTATACAGGAAATATATTGTCATTTACATGTACATGATGAATGTAGCATACATACATGAATCCACTCTACTTTATATTGCTTTGTTTTATTTGTGCTCACAATGTAGGGGAGAGGGGGGGGCGGACCAGGAGCAAATTTTGGATTTTCCAGCGTTTAAAAATGCAAGTTTCCACATTTTGAGAGGCAAATCAAGTGGTCTAGAGTTGTTGCTGCTCCTTTGGAAGTATTTCTATTTTTTTCCGAAATTCCTGTCTTTTGAATGTCAATCTTGTCAGTCAAGGTTGACAGATTGGTTTTACATGTAAAATTTTACCGTCACACACCGCAAAGTTCCTGCTATATTCATGGCAAAATCAAAATATGGACCAAACTGTGGTGGTAGCCGCTCTGCCTTTGAAGAAAAATGCTGATCCAAAAACTCAAGAGGACTGTGACTTACTACCTGGGATACCTAAGGACACTAAAAACTGAACTGAGACTTGTGTCTCCTAGTCTTTCATAAATTTTATTGCATAAGCAAACCAAGTGCTTAATTTCATTGAGCAAAAGCAAGAACTGGATTTTATGCGCAAGGGACGTCAGTTGGTATTTATTTTCTGGGAGATAAATGCTGAGATGATCGCAAGGGTTCATCCTCGTGTTACTAACAATGAGGAAGGGACGAGAAGACAAACAGGTGCTAGCTACAGCCCTGATCCTGACCTTGAGCTGTAGCATGTTTCCGCTGCGAGTCATGACAGCCCCCTGCATGTCATATCGCCGTATGTCCACCTCCATCTGTACCTCCTCCATGTGCAGCAGGCAGGAGAAGCGAGGAGACAGCGTGTCGATGGTCATGCTGTTCTCCAGCAGAGCCCTGAAATCAGGTACAGTAAAGAAGTACAGGCTTTATGGTGGGGTCGTGATGCATAACAAGTGTTCGAATCAGAACCAAGAGGTTCCGAGTTCCAATCCTACCATACCATCAATCTTGTGCCCTTGTGAAAGGCACTTTACACAACTTTTCTCACTTCACTCAGGTGAAAATGACTCTTAAGTCTGGTGGTGGGATAAAGATAAGTTGAGAAACTCAACTAAGCCATTACCATGTCTTGATGGCAACAAAAGAGAGATGCTGACAGACTGCAACCCGTTGACCAAAGTGACCTCACCTCACCAGTCCCATAGCAGTTAGGTGACTGCCGCAGGGGCAACATTCGGTGCAATTTTATATTGCGTAAAGACTGTCCTTCTGTCAAAATCAATGGCAAACTGGCCAATTCCATCAAGATTTCTCACTAGTTATCATCAAAAATTGACATTGATCCTTTCCTTTTCCTTACACTACTCCTTACTTGGTGATGTGCAGGTCCGTCTTGTCAGGTTCTGGCATGTCTTCCTTCTCCACAAGTCCTCGGTTAATAAGACGTCTCAGGGTAGGAGGAACGGGGAAGGACTCCAGCTCTATCACCTTCTCCAACTGCCCCTGAGACTCACTGGAAAAAATGAAAAAAGGTTGCATTTTTCAGGCATACAGTATAATAAGGTCACAAGGGGAGGGCGGACAAAAATAGGGCATATAACAAGAAGGTCACAATTCTCCCCAACAACCCCTGCTTAGAGAGTAAGGCATCCATCTTTTAATTGCAGAAACTTTGTGGGTGTGTGATGGAAAAAATTTTAAACCAATCCGTCAACCTTTCACAGAAACAACTGACAAAAATCTTGGGTAGAAGTATAAAAACATCCAAAGACCCACCAACAACCACTCTCAACCCCATGATTTGCCTCTCAGAATGTGGGAAATTGTGTTTTTAAAGGCACTGGAAACAAGCTAGATTACAAGCAATCTCCCTACATCATGAACCTGGGCTGATGGAAAAAAAATTTGAGCTTAGCTAGAGCCCTGATTTGCAAACTGTAACATGGCAGTGTTGAAGTCTTACTGTCAACAGGACATGCACTGTCCTTGGTGCTGAAAAAGCAATGACTGACTTAACAGCTAAGGCAATGTTTTCATGGATGGAAGGTGGAAGTAAGACATGATACACTGGCTGTATGAGCTTTGATACCTAAAGTTTGCAAACTGTAACACTGTAGTGATGAAGTCTTACAAGTCAACATGGCATGCACTGTCCTTGGTGCTGAACAAGCAATGACTGACTTTACAGCTAAGTCCATATTGCATGATATTGGAAGGTGGAAGGAAGACATGATACACTAGCTATGTGAGCTTTGATACCTGGCGTTTGCAAACTGTAATGATGGTAGTAATGAAGTCTTGAAGTCAACATAGCATGCCAGGACTCAAAATACTGGGTGCATGTGCACCTTAGTGCACCCAAAATTGGAGCTGTGCACCCAGTTTTTTTCTGTGGGTGCACTGCTGCACCCAAATATTTTTGTAGTTATTTTTGTACATATTAAATGTATACAGTAATACTGGATATTCTTGGCATCTAAGTGTCAGAAAATCTTTGTTGTAGTACTTGTTTGAAATGTAAGATTTTAAAGTTAGCTCCCATTTCAGATTCAAGCTCATAAGAGGAACAGTAAGATCTGTAATTAGGTTTTGTTTTATATGGTGCACCCAAGAATTTTTCTGTGCACCTAAATTATTAGGTTGGGTGCACCAGTGCACCTATTCCCAAAAATGAATTTCGAGCCCTGCATGCACTGTCCTTGGTGCTGAAAAAAAAACCTGGCGTAATGATCAAAGTAGACAACCACTTACGGAGGAAGTGGCACACCGTCGACCACTTTTAACTTCTGCCTGTTGAAGGTGACCCTGGGCGGGTGTTTGTACGGCACCTTGGGACGCAGCTCGTCCACCATCTGGTTGGTCACGCGGGCGGACAGGTTGCGGACGATATGGAATGGTGTCGCCGAGGCCGGCCGGCGGAACTCCAGCGCGACGGGAGCACGGTACTGTCCGAGAAAGCGCGCCAGGCACTTCACTTCTACTGTGTACTGTTGTCCTATAATTCATACATAATATTACATAACAGATAGAGTACATATTGATCAGAAAGCAAACGGAACTACTGTATCACACATGTAAGATGAATTCTTTTAGCCAACAAACTGTCATCTTCCCATCATGATATGGATTCATGTTCATTTGTATAAATAGGGTGAGCACATTACAAATCGGAACTAAATATAGTATATAGCATAATTATTGTAGGTTGAGACACAGGACCTCTGTCTGGATGATTTTTTAAACTTTTTCAAAAGGTGTGGCGGGTTCTTAATTGCGTGAGTGTGGCTCTCCCCAAACACAGTAGCCTGGTTACCAATTTATAGCTTCCAAGTCCTACATACTCTCTGTCAATATTACAAACATGGGACCACAATTTAACATCTTATTGTGACTTTTCCAAGGGCACAAGTTTGGTGACATGGCAAGATTCAAACAAGGGACCTCTTGGTTCTGAGCCAAACACTATGCCATTACTTTACCCCACATTACACAGTCTTACCTGGCTGAAGATCAACAGTCTTCTGTCCAAATCCCTGGCTGATGTTTTCTTGGTCACTAAGCTGGAATGCACGAACACGGCAAAGGAGCTCACACCTGTAAAATAAATTTTATTTCTTTTAGGATTTATGAAGGGTCACAAGGTTCTCCCCAAAAAGAAACACCCCTACGCTGAAACAGTGTAGGGGGCTAAATCCAAATCAAAGCACTCAAACAGCCTAGTGAGAACCCTAGTATTGCTTGTGCCACAACCAATCATTGTATCCTTAATTGTAACTTGCTGCTTCCTCTTACCTACAGAACTGCAGACTTTCAGTGTTGCTGGTGTTGTGGATGTAGAACTACTCTTACCTACAGAACTGCAGACTCTCAGTGTTGCTGGTGTTGTGGATGTAAAACTACTCTTACCTACAGAACTGCAGACTCTCAGTGTTGCTGTTGTTGTGGATGTAGAACTACTCTTAAATACAGAACTGCAGACTCTCGGTGTTGCTGGTGTTATGGATGTAGAACTACTCTTACCTACAGAACTGCAGACTCTCAGTGTTGCTGGTGTTGTGGATGTAGAACTACTCTTACCTACAGAACTGCAGACTCTCAGTGTTGCTGGTGTTGTGGATGTAGAACTACTCTTACCTACAGAACTGCAGACTCTCAGTGTTGCTGGCGTTGCGAATGTTGATGTTGAACCTAAGCTCCTCCCCAGACTGTAGGGAGATGTGCATGGCCCCTCCCTCAGCATCATGGTCAGTGAACACCTCCACATCCTCTTTATTCTCAGCAAGCTCAAGTCTGAAAATTGCAGAATGTTGTTAGAATGATCCATACTTCCTGGAGTGGTGCAGGTCAAATTTGTCTGGTGCAGGAATACATGTAATTTACAATTTTCCATGTTAAATAATGTACATTCACCAGTGCAGGTATGTAAAAAAAAATTAAGAATTTTCTAGGCCTACATGTAGTTATCAAAATATTGTGTTTCCGGTTTCCTGATCAACCCTAGCAAAAACCAGCCGACCCTAGCATTTGTTTAATAATAACAGTACTGCACGTAAGGCTGTAAAATTTTCAATCTGACATCTGAAATTCAAATGCTCTAAAAAAAACGTCTGAAATGCAGAAAATCGTTTAATCAGGTTGATAGAACAAAGAATATTAGGACCATGCTTATGTAAGCAAGGTGATAGTCTTAACTGGTTGTATAAAATAAAATATCATAGTCTGGAATGACAATCATTAAATTTTAATTCATTTCTAGAAGATTGTTTTCTTCAATAAATTCTGTTGAAAAACTCCCAAACAAACAGGTGGACAGGTCGCTTGAGACAGTCCTCATAGTCATACATAATTTATCTTATTTTGAATCATTTTTGCCCAAATGTAAAAAAAAAAACGAAAATCCCTACCTACCAACCCTAGTTTATCCAGGACTGAAACCAGTAACACAACATTACTTTTCCTAGGCCCTAGCCCTAGCATCATTCTATCAGAACAGTTTGGTGAACTACATGTATCTAAACGTATTAAAAAATTCTACATGTACCTTCTCGTCTTCAGCCCTTTCAGTAGATGCTGCACCCTCTGTCTCCTGTTAGAAAAAACTGGTGGAGGCTGTTCTACTTTCTTTTGGTCCTCTGCAACTTTCTTCGCTTCCTTAGACTTCCTTGCCTGGGCCAGGCCTATGTACTGGTCCACCGCAAGTCGGTTCTTCCTCTGGAAGGGCGATCTTCTGGGACCAAAGCGAACGATGTCCGTGTCTATGTGTATCTTCCGCATGCGACTCAGCGTGTACAGCACGGATGAACAGTTTGGAATTCTCTCGAAGTTCTGGGCTTGACGAAACTGGCTGTTGTAGATTTCCTTGGCCCTCGCCTTGGTCAGATCAGCCTCCTTGAGGTTGTGTTCCTCGAGGAACTGTAGGAAGGTGATGCCTATTCGCTGGCGCTCGGACATCGTAAAATGTACCAAGATGCTGAAAGAGCTCTCAGTCTCACATAGCCAGCTATGAATGGGGGTAGGGTAGGGGGGTACTTAAGCGCAAAGTAGGCAATGGGATGTATTCTTCCTGAGAGTATACAGTCCTGGAAAGAGAGAGCACAACAATGAGAGTTAATCATCAACAGTGTACATATCCTTTTAAGGCAATATGAATAGTGAAGAAGGATGACTAACATGTGTATGGCACTCATACATGTACAACAGGGATCAACAGGCTATCTGCATTATGTTCACAGTCATAAAGAAATAAATGCCTCTGCTGAGTCATACCAAGGAGGTTTAAAAGCATCCAATGTAATTTGAAGGTAGCAAAAGAAAAAAATTATAGGGAGGAGGAAACTGCCATTTCTGTGCACATTTTTTCATCATTTCATATTTACCTCCATGAAAAATGGAGGTATTGTTTTTGGCGGCGTCTGTCTGTGTGTCTGTGTGTGTGTCTGTGTGTCTGTGTGTGTGTCTGTGTGTGTTTCCGCAACTTTGTAGTCAGCATAACTTCATAACGCCTTTATGGATTGTGATGATATTTGGTATGCTGATAAGTCTTAGGAAGACAAAGGTCAAGGTCAAATATGGGCCTCCTGGTGGATGACCTTGGTACTGCAGCAGAACTTCCGGTTTTTGTATCTTTGGTCCTGAACATGCTATGGTCTTGAATTTTTGGTGACAGATAGCTTTTCCTGTCAGGAATAAGTGGTGTGGGTTTGGTCCCCCTAGCAGCTTGTTCAGGAACTGCAGGGGACTTTCGGGCGAAATCTTTGAAAGCCAATAAGTCCAGATAGGAACAGCGTATTTTCATCATTTTTGGTGTGTAGGTATCTGACAGAGAGATGTACATAATTAACTGCAAATTATGCAAATGAGGACTTTATTTGCATAATTAATGAGGAAATTCCATAATTACAGTGTTTTACATTATAGAACTTTCATACATGTAATGTATGTAACCTATGGCAGATGGAACATCAACAGATACTAATTATGCAAATGATGACCTAATTTGCATAATTAATGCAAAAAATCTATGATTTCTCAATGGTGAATGATGGGAATGTCATACTTGGGACATCTTTAAGTTAATCAAAAGTTAACATCACGATGCATATATTATGTTGATGCAGAGGTCATTTGCGTAATTAAAGAAGAAATTTACATTTACATATCAAGCCCATATTTCATGGAGGTATGAGATCTCGGAACTCTTGTTCAAGTGTTTGAAATAGCGCCAAAACAAGCTAGTAGTGATGAATCTCTTTATTTTTTTGGTACCACCCATAAATAGCTAGAACCAGCCTACGATACAAAACAAGCAACCGTTTTCTGTCAGCCACATTATTGCATCTTTGCCTCACAGATATCAGTGTGCTATGGGATAGGATTGATTTAACTAAGGTTCAACTTACTAAATAAAAAAAACAGACCAGAAAATTGACTGGAAAAATGCATCGGATGCCTTTAAATAAAAAGCTTGTTGATCAAATAAATTAATGAAATAGTTTCATGATATATCATACGCTTAGCGTACAAATTATCTTGTATCTCAAGCTTAAAAGGTACATGCACATAGCAAATGCAAGATTTCCTCACCCATTTTCAATAAATGTTGCCCTAAACAGGTTATGTGACTTAAGGAATCAAAATTCCCATGGGGTTTAACACATTAACTCTCTGAAACTCAGGAGCAGGAATAACAGCATTCTTGCTAAACATTACATTAGCATTTCTAGCTGACATTAATGGTTGGCAGTAAAACAGCCCACATGAGGCACACTCAGTTTGTGGTGCCACCACAAAATACCAGAATGTAAACAAACATGGATGACAGCTGTGTGTCTTTCCAGCTTTTAAACACACTCCTAAGGCCACACCAATTTAATTTCTTGGTTAACGGATTTGCCGCTTCATTTTTTTCTGATTTGCAAATAAAAATAAAAATTCAGAATCAACTGCAAAATGCTCATATTTTGCCCTGAACAGTTGAAAACAGTCCTTTTCTTACTACTTGTTACAGTCATTCCATCTTTCAATGCAGTGGTATCATTAAAAGTTCAAAATTCATTGTTTAAATTTTGAACCAGCCTGGTGTGTTGACTTAATGGCTCCTATTGTACCATTTTGGGCCATAATAGGATGCCTAGGCCTGTTTTTATTTTTATTTTTTTTTCGCCCGCTCGCTCCATTATTTTTCTAGAAAAATCCGTTAACCAAGAAATTAAATTGGTGTGGCCTAAGGTGTAAATGCATTGTATTTTTGCACCTCTACTTCCTGAATGGCACTTATTTATAATGGAGATTTTTACTATTAAAGAAATGATGATGAAGATGATGATGATACAGAAATGATGATGATGATAAAACGATAAAGAAATGATCAGAAAATTTACTTTTTAAGTAATCGTCCTAATGTTACCTCATGCAGCTTTAACACTGTGCTAATTTGTGCAGCATGGCTCAGACCTGACTTTTACAGGCCTGGGAACTAGGTTGCCAGTCTAGGCTGCAGCTGGCTGTGATTGTGAGCTGTAACAATACTGCTGTATATCACTGGCAGGGCCACACTAAAGAGAAATGTAACAGGGACAGCAGGAACGATGGGGTAGAATACTTGATTAAAAAAAAAAAATTATACCAGGGGAAACAGGGCCTAAGCCCTAAGGCCATACTGATTTAATTAAATAGTTCTTGGATTTGCCCACTTCATTTTTTGATCAATTTGCAAAAAACAAAAGATTCATGTCCTGAAACTACTCTAACATGGTCATATTTTGGCTCAAAATTTGACGAAAGCTCCTTGTCTTCCTATCAGTACAGTAGGTATTACTGTAACAGTTTTTCCATCTATCAATGCATTGGTTTGATAAATATTATAATTCTATAAAATTATAAACCTGCCCGGTATGTTGTCATCATGGATTCTATCGTACAGTGTAGCTTTTAGGGCTATCAGAGTGAGGATGCCTATGTCTGTTTTCATTTCAATTTCAATTTTTTGCCGTCTTTTCTTCTAAAAAGTCAGAGAACCAACAAATCAAATTGGTGTGGCCTAACATACATGTACCCATTTGCACACCTGTTGTTAAATAATTATGGTGATCAAAATGGGCATAATATGTCAACTGCAAAAGGATAGCATACATGTATCATATTTATGACATTATAAACTGTCATAGACTTAAAAGTGTTTATGAAATAGCTGACGAAAATATTAATAATAAATATTACCAAAGGCTAATGTTTACGGACGTTATATGCACCATACCCTGCACTTCATTATAAATTATGTTTAACTTGTTTGTTTGTTTGTTTTATCTAGGAAAGACTTGTTGCTTTCTGGCATTAAAAAAAAAACTCATAGGGGGATAATTCCGGCAATAAAAAAAAAAACAAATAATAAAAGTCAACCAAAACAAAAGCGAGAAATAATAAACCCTCTCGAAAAGCAGAAAAAATGAATAACAAAATTCATTTCCATTGTATTATTATAATAATCATGGGGGTAAAAAAATTTACCTCCATGTTATAATACAAAATATGGATATGAAATAATATACATGTAGTAGTATTTCAAATAACATAATAGTCCAGACAGCAATCATATGGTACTATTATGAGTCATGTGTGGCAAACAAAAAAAATTATTACATAATGTGTATGATTGAGTCATGGTGTCACGTGATGGCTGAGAACAAATTATCACCAGAATCAAAACAAACTGGCCTGGGGGCTAACCCAGGGGTTTACAGAATCACTGAACCAGATCAAATTAGATTACATAGTCTACAGACAACCCTCTTCTGACCACAATACTGGTCCCCTTTTTACCATTCAAACAGTGTCCAGCGACGTCCAAGATCTAGTACGCGGGTCAGTCTACAAGGCCAAACCGATTTACACCAGACAAAAGAGTTCTAGACTGTCCTCAGACATAGGCTATACAAAACACAGATCGGCCAAGACTATCAAATTATATCTAGACATTTCTAAGACTTTATATTACTTCTTATCCTTCGGTACAGGTCTTGAGAAGTGTAGGATAATCGTAAGAATGGTTTAGGGTTGCATCGAGCTAGAAGAGAGGGTTTTGATGAGTGGGTATCTTACCTGTCTGGCTCGGCAACAAAACAGCTGAGGTGCTGGCAAAGCGCGAACTCGTGGTATTTCACAACTTCCGGTTAGAAGCGGAAACGACCTCTAACCCATAAAAATTTTGTCTTGAAAAAAAAAAGACTTTACAGTTCACATATTCTTGGGTGTCTTAACCGATATTAGGAGATTAATAATATGAATTACGTTGTTTTATCATTCATAGTTTAAGTTATGAAAAATTGGAAGAACTGAATTGTTACCTTTGACCTTCTGAGAGGACAAAAATGGCGTCACTCCTAGTGAGGGGAGGTCGCCCGCTTCTTCGCAAAAATGTGCTTCAAACCCTCGCAAGATGCCAAGTGGCGGGCCTAAAAACTGGCTCAGGCGGAGATAAGAGTACGACGGCTGGAGTGGTGGAAGAAGAGAAGAAGTTACACACTCCTTACGGAGAAACGATAGTGAGAAGAGGTGACCGTCCCGGGGATCTCAAAGATGAGGTTGGTAGCTCCTTTCTTTCCAAAATGTTCTTCGTGTTTTTACTACCGCTCATAGTGTTGTATTGGTTTGCTATAGCTTTACTGCATATTTAAAGTGTTTAAGAGTCACCCGAAAAAATGCAAAGCCACTATTATTTCTTTTTGCGTTATAACATCTGCAAAACATACGTATCATGTTTGTGCCGCTTTAATGTTAGTTTGGAACAGTGTGTAAAACAAATTCATGACCTTGGACGAAGGTAACCGTAAATGTGGTGGATAAGGACATCGTCAGGAAGTGTTAATTTCTTACATGTATTTGTAAGCATGTTTGAAGCCCATTCTCTATCCTTTGTGCAATAGCACATGAGGCAATTTGCAGTTATTTTACTTCAGTGACAACCTGCTATAAAGTTTGATTTGAAACTTCTAGCTAATTTTGGATGTCAGTCAGTCTTTTCGTTAGACTATGACTTGCGCAAAAGCAACAAACACATGGTTCATTCCTAATACATTGTACTGGTAACAGAGACATGAGTCATGCCATGTCAGAGTCATTTTGGAGATACATGTCAACTAAAGCAAATATGGAGCAACTTAATAGTTTCTCTTAAGTACAGCCGAGTTCCATTAAACTATGATTTGTTATTTACTTGTATTAATTTCTTTATTGATGTATCAAAGCACTCAAATACTGTTGACTCACCATCAATTGTTGTTACTTCCATCATAATAGGACATCAACTGGGAATGGCGAGGTTGGAGTGAGGACCCTGTGGAAGATATGAAGAACCACAGAGCCTTCTTCTTCTGGGGTATCTCTGTGTGCCTGGTGCTGATGCCTCTCTATGTATACTACATGCCAGAAAGATAGTAAGTATTGAAAAATATAACATCAGCCTGTAAAATTTTTCCGTCATTTCAATTTTGTTTGATGTAATATCAAGTCAGGCATCCAATGCCAAAAGGCAAGAATCTAGGAGATACTCACCCTTTCGCACACCCTGTCTTGACCTACTTGTAAAGGCTCAAGGGGCAAATTTGACATTTTTGGGGGCAAATTTAGCTGGTAGACTAAATTTAGTTCAAGGACATCTCTTTCTATATCTTTTCACACCAATTTTCACACGTCAAAGCTGGGCAAAATGTTTGTCTCTCAACAGCAGCAAAAATGCCAAAATGCCATCAGAATATTCAGATGACAAGAAAAAACACATCCCCCGTGTTTGGTTGGTTGGTAGGTGTAGGGTAGGGGTGTTTCTTTTGGGTGAAAACCTTGTGACCCTTCATAAATCTTGTAAAATATGAAACTGACTTAAGAATGAAGCTGAGCTAAACAAAGGAAAAACATAACCATACAAAATATGCCCTTAATAAGCAGGAAATAGTGTCTCAGAGCCTGTTATGAGCCTAAAACAAACCAGACCCCCTAGTGCCCCTACTGTTGTCTTCTCTTTGGGACTCCATGAGTGGCTTGCACCACAGAAAGTTGTCCTTCTGTACCTGACCCTTACGGTGTGAAAAAAAATTCTGGTGAACCCTGCATTGCTTTATTATACGCCTATTATTTTTTTTCATGAAAGTGTTGTGTGTTTAAGTTAAAATGTCTGTTGTAATTTCCAGCATGCGTGACTGGGTGAAGAGAGAAGGCAGGCTGGAGTACGCACGGAGACTACGGGAGGGAGAACCACTCATAGACCCCAACGTGGTCGACCCTGCCAAGGTCATCCTACCCCCGGAGGAGGAGGTCCCAGAACCACTGTACAATCTCTGAGATGTTACTTCTTTTCAGATGACATAGTTTATAAACTCTTCTGTGATTTTTCTTTTGGAACTGGTAAGAATTAAATGTGTATTTGTCACACCATCAAAACTTGTACTCTTATTACTGTAAATCACTTCATATTCGCAGTAGCAAAATGTCGTTGTCAGAGAAAAATTGACATAAAGACATGGCAGAAGAAAGAAAAATTCGCAGTACAGAAGTGACCGTGAAAACCGCGAATATAAAAGTACTGCAAATATAAAGTTATTTACAGTACAATGTATAAGATTTCTGCTGGACACACAATTCATAGAGACTTACTTTTCACAACTGGTAGATGTCAAAGTTGTCATCTCTAATGGTTTGTCTTGTGTGTTTTGAGTTTGTACAGGGTTTTATATGATTTGGTATCTCATAACATCCTGAAATAAAGACAGACTTAACAATGTTCACCATCATTCAAACCTATGTATTACTGTGTAAAAGTTTATGCATAGTCAACTGGCAACAGCCACACTACAGGTAACCAAACAAAATAAGTGAGGTGCAGTGATATGCAAAATGTTATGTTTGTAGAACAAATTGAGAGAAAATAAATACATGTCTTAAAAGATCATCTATATTGCCAATGTGTACGCCTATTCGTGAGTGGTTTATTCTTTTACATCTAATATGCATTGATTTTTAGATAGTGGTATTCCTGTTATTTAGATGAAAAGTACAAGTGGGATGGCTTAACTAGATCAAGCAAGAAGTTTGCAAATACTTATACCAGGCTATGGGAGGCGGCAAAATGTACCAACTCCCCTGGCATGTTATCTCTCTATTTGGGAAATTTCTGCTCTTTCCAGCCGCCTCCCGAAGCCTGGTAGAGGCTAGCAAATACTGTAGATCAGATGTACATGTACAGCATGCATATACATGTACATATATAGCTTTGTGCATAAATAAGGCAAGAGATGGACTTCTTGAACAGCTTGAATTTTTGTGCATGTGTTCCCTTAGCAAACTACCAGTACTGATATGTGACTGTCAGTAACTGTCCAGTTGCTGACAATCTCATGTCAGTAACTGAACAGTTACTGACAGTCTCATTTCAGTCACAGTTCAATAAAACTGTCATGACTGTAATGCAAATGACAAGCACTGATGCTTCCTAATGACTGATCTCTTACTGACAGTTACTGTCATGACAGTACTGACAACTTACTGGCAATTGCTGACATGCTTCTGTCACCTTCAGAAGACACACTAGCAAGTTTTAATTACTGAGGAATTTTTATGAGTGTGCAGTGCAGTGGGCAAGCAAAAAGAAAAGACATGATGTAAGTTTGAGGGCAACATCGGTTTTTACATTTAATATTGGAGCACATCTGGTTGATACAAATAAGCCACCTGCCATAGGGCGACGCAATGAACACCTGTTTGCTGTCCAGCAATTGATAGATTATGCCTGATAAAATAAATACATTTTCTATTTTCAAGCATGTAACAAAACAAGCGAAGCAAGGTATTTCCCTCTTTTAGATATAATATACAAAAGAGATATAATAATGGCATTCAATATTATATGTTGAGGTTAAAAATATTTCTTTCTTTTGGTGACAAAAAAGACAGGCACTAATTCAGAATCCACGGCCACCCCAGGCATTTGAAAGACCCAGAAAGGGGAAAATATCGTCATCAAAACAACACTGCGCAACTAGAAAATCTGAGGTGTCCATATTTATATTTTTCTCGGCAGTTAGATTACAATAATTCAATAACTGGTTTCAATTTAGCTGTAGCTTAGTTCAATACCCAGATTACTTATTTTATGCCGAAAAGAAGGAATTCGTAGGAGGCAGTGCCTACGTCTCGTCAGCTGTTCTGGAAGATACAGTTGCAGTTCAGGTAAACATTCAATTTCTGAGTGAATGTTTTTAAGATTTATGATGTTTTATGCATTTTCGTATTACTTAAACATCTTCTTTCGTCATATTATGGTTGTAGGGAGGTCATGTTGTATATTTCTACCGCTGTCACTTGCTAAAACTAAATGTACAATGTATTTAAATGAAGGGGGAGGGGGGTAAACATAAGTAAAGGTGATGAAATATCTGCAGAAACAACACGTCATGCTAACGTTTATAACGCTGTCTTACCAATTATAATCAGTTTGACATATTGAAACTGTTGACAATGCTGCAATGTTAATAATTAAGTCATAAATATTCACTGAATGTTAAGCCAAAAATTTCTTTACATCAAAGAGGTTTAATACCTCTATTACAAAAAACTTATAAGTAATACAGATATCCTTGTTTTCTCGAATTACTGTAAATCAAAAACTGTAAAACAATTTTTCTGTGGTACTTTCATATTCGAAGTTATCGCAGTCACCCCTGTACTGCAAACGTGTATTTTGCCGACTTTCATTTTGCTGCACCTGTCGTGACCGTAAATATATAGTTTTCTCAGACCCCAAACTTTTGCTACTGCAAGCGTACTATAGAACTTAGTAATTTACACTATTGTTATTGTTAAGGTGTTTGCTAAATTGCTGTGTGTTGTTGTTTACAGTGTTAAAATTTGAAGTTACCTCCCACAGTCCCAGCCATGGCAGTGAAGTCACCACCCATCATATACCACACGTCCTCCCCACACCACAGTCCTATCGCCTTCACCACACCCCTGGCCAAACTTACCAACCTGATGAAACTATTCACGGTTGCATTTTGTTGTTTCAGTGTTGAAAGTGAACCATGGCAGTGAAATCACCGCCCATCATTTACCACACGTCCTCCCCGCATCATGGTCCCATCGCCTTCACCACGCCGCTCGCCAAACTAACCTGATGAAAATATATTTACAGTTGTATTTTGTTGTTTCAGTGTTGAAAGTGAACCATGGCAGTGAAGTCACCACCCATCATATACCACACCTCCCCGCACCACGGTCCCATTGCCTTCACCACACCCCTGGCCAAACTTACCAACCTGATGAAACTATTCACTGTTGTATTTTGTTGTTTCAGTGTTGAAAGTGAACCATGGCAGTGAAGTCACCACCCATCATTTACCACACGTCGTCCCCGCACCACGGCCCCATCGCCTTCACCACGCCCCTGGCCAAACTGCTGGCCCAGCGCGCCCGCAGCTTTCTGTGTTTCGGACAGGTCCTGCACGGCAGCATGTTCCTGATGCTGGCGTTCGTTGCCATGGCGGTGGGCTGCTCGCTGGAACCTCTCAAGTCACCCGACCTGGCTAACGCAGTGGTAGGTACAATGTAACAGATCCCCACCAGACTCCTTTGTAGGCTCAATAAATACTAGAAATCGGCCTAAAAAAGATTGTAGCTTGCCAAGGGGAGTTAGCCAGTCATAGAGGGTAAAAAAAAAAAGAATCTGTGCGGGCAAATTGGACCCTCTAGGTTTGCGAAGTTGCATTATCATTGATAGTTCTTAGAAGAACATCTAGTTGATGGAAAACAATGTCCAGTTGGATTTTCCCTCCTAAATCAGTTTTCCGCTGATCAGACCGGATGTTGTTTTCTGCCAACCCAAGACACATCTCAGTTCCACATATCCTTTCCTCCCCAGATCTTATTCTGCATGGTGGTGTCCACTACTGCCATTACCTTCACGGTCCTGCCGGTCAGCATGGCCGCATCAGCGGTCAAGGAGGCACGGCAGCGTGGCAAGGCCCCCATCACAGGACCTGTGGAAGTGGACGCCTCGTTTAAGAAGATTCCCCTTGAGAGCAGCAGCCAGGATGAAGAAAACACTGCGCTTTTGAAGAGTGTAACCATATAAACTGTACTTGGTTCCTCCGTGAATATACAGTTTCATCAGGTTGATATATAAGTCTCGGAATAAAGAGACTCTTTTTACACAACCAAGAGTCGGCTTTTTATTCAGCCGACGTTCACCTTCCTTTTATAGGGGGGCCTGCAAGGGGGGGGGTCCCGACAACCCTCTAATTTGGAAACCTCTTGATTATGCTTCACGATAAATTCCAAGTGGCTACAACATATTACATAGAATTAATACAGCGAAAATATGCTCTACGCAAATTGCGCCAATTACGCTCTATGTTGAATTAGAGCGGCCTGTCTACACTCTACGTAGAATTAAAACGGCCGATTACGCTCTACGGAAAAGGGCTTGCAGGCCCCTTATAGGACAAATCTGACTGGTTTTACTTTACATTGTACAGCACAGGTGTCGCTGCTCTAAATTTGCCCTGAGGAAGGTGACAGACGGTCCTCTAAACTTCGGCTGAATATACCCCTTGGTTGTGTAAAAAGAGTCTCTTTATTCATGTGTTTGGTGCAGATATTAAGACTAAACCAATGGTAGTACTTAAGAAATGACATTCAGGACGCACAATTGTTGCTAACTAGATAACATAGCTTAGCCCAGATGTAAACTGCTTGCAGTGGACAGGAATAGACCTCGGAATTTAAAGGTACTGAAACATTAGGAGCGAGTAGAAACAGGAAAACCACTGATGACTCCTGGGAATCAAACCTGCACCGAGTCGGTCGAAACCTCACTGTTACAGTGCAATCACCACTGTTCATGAAATTATAACTCACCGGAATAATTGTATACTGGGGTATGTGTAACAGTAGCTATTGCTGTTTATAGTACAAGTTAGAGGATTTTACGACAGTGCAACACTGCTACAAACTTTAGATTTCAAGTAAACCGTAGCAGTTTAAAACATGATTGTATATCTTAGCATTTACTTTTAGAAATGCATTGACTATATATATATATATATATATATATGACGTGTGTATGTGTGATTTGGTGCTGTTTCAAGGAGTGACAGGGAAACAGATGTGTGGTGGTATGTACATTTCTTTCTGTGCAGTTTTAATGTGTACATTACTAGTACATGTAGTTAAGCCAGACCCACAGGACATACCAGTATAGGACTCCTTCCTAACATCTGTGTATTAACAGTTACTGTAAGCTCGAATTTCTTCTCTAGATCTAAACTGTTAGGAGAGAGTATATTAACTTGTGATATTATATATTATATTATCATATAGCCGGACGGCGTGGACCAATCAGAGGCCCGGATACCCGTGCTGTTATTTCCCGATAACAGCACATGTGGTGTTATGGCGGAATAACAGCACATGTCGTGTTATGGCTGATACCATTATGTTATAGGGTATAGGGGCATGCGACTCTTTCTGTAAACCTTTGTAGCATTTTTCTGTCCAATAAACTTTTTTCTTTAGCTTCATTTAAACTACAATTTGCATTAAATGAAATTATCCATATTTGTTTTAAAGCGTATAATATATTCGAATGTATTTTTATGTATGTATATATATTAAAGCTGTTGTATTTCAAACAGGAATTGTGTTGATTGACAGTTTGGATAGGCTATATGATAATAATTTTAATGCACTGCCTTTTCCTCGTTGTATATGGTGTCATAACTGCATGGGCAGCTGCCATAACCACCTCATAAACCACCTCGTTCGCTTCGCTCACACGGTGGTTTATTCGGTGGTTATGGCAGCTGCTCATACAGTTATGACACCATATACAACTCGGGGCAGTGCATTAACCCTTTATTAATTTGTAATTAAATCAGGACTATTCCAGTCAGTCAAATATAATGCATTGATTTTTGTTCATTATCTCCTGAACAGTTTATAGACTTTGATGTAATAAAATTATAACCCTTTAATATGTAGTTAGCATTTTGAGGCCATACTAAATATTTGAACTATTATTTGATAAATGGCATTAGGCCACACCAATTTAATTTCTTGGTTAACGGATTCGCCGCTTCATTTTTTTCTGATTTGCAAATAAAAATAAAAATTCAGAATCAACTGCAAAATGGCCATATTTTTCCATGAACAGTTGAAAACAATCCTTTTCTTACTAGTTCTTACAGTTATTCCATCTTTCAATGCAATGATATCATTAAAAGTTCAAAATTCATTGTTTAAATTTTGAACCAGCCTGGTGTGTTGACTTCATGGCTCCTATCGTACCATTTTGTGCCATAATACGATGCCTAGGCCTGTTTTTATTTTTTATTTTCGCCCGCCCGCTCCATTATTTTTCTAGAAAAATCCGTTAACCAAGAAATTAAATTGGTGTGGCCTTATATTGAATTATAAACCAGCCTAGTCTAAGCCAGGTATATGTATGTTGACTTAATGGATCCTATCATGATATCACTTGTGGCTAACATAGGATGCCTACATGTAGGTCTGTTTTCTTTTGCCCTGTCACTTCATTTTTTTCTGAAAAAAAATACGAGCCAACAAATCAAATTGCTGTGGTCTAAAGGGCTAATGGAAGCATGACATGTATTATATGATCAAATACTAACTTTTTATCCTATCTAAAGGGAGCAATATTGAAATCACTACAATTTATGATTTTATATTAACTTTATTCAGTACTTTGTACAGGAGCACTTTCTTACACAAATGGTTGACATACAATATTGACACGGATTGTGATAGACGGTTACAGTTACATTACTACGACTAAAGTGTGCTATATAAGCTGCCGTAAATATCGCTTTTTTCATAAATATTTTTTTTCATAAAACTCTCCGAGGTAAGAAACTGAGATTGCTTTGCACAGTGTTCGATCCAACTGGTTTGCTGGTGACTTTTGCCAGTTCATGTAGTAAAGGTATAGTTCACAATGTAAAGAAAGCATTCTTTTCATTGGTGCTTTTTCACCAATAAGCGACTGCCTGTGCACACAGTACCAGTACTTCATTTTAGTACAATCTTAAACTTTATTCCAACACAAAGAGTACGCAGGGTTTAAATTTTCAACCACCACTGTTGCCTTCATCAGGTTAGTAATGACCCATCACTTCAAAACGTAATCTCGCGAGAGTTACGGTTACACACACGTGACCTTAGTCACGTGAGACTTTATGGATCTTTGACGTCAGCAATTGATCAAACGCGCCGCGAAGTTTATATCGTCCACCGTCTCTGCTTAGTGATGGCTGGAGTGCCCTGATATATATGGCCTCCTTTCTACTTTGTGCAAACTATCCAAAGGTATGTAAATGTAGATGACAAATGCGTTGCACATTACAATGACATCCAGTCAGATTCAAACACGTTGTCACACATTGGACCCTGTGTAAAGCAATCCACAGCATAGAATTTTTTACTTTCCCTCCGTTTCTTTCTGGCTTTCCCAAACATGTAGTGACACAAAATATATCTATATGTAGGAGAAACACTAAACACTTAAGCTTTACAATGTACTGACAGTTTCATGTTCTAGAAAACAAAATCAAATCAAATCTGTCCGTATTCTTTAGCCATGCAGCCATATTAATGTAACTTATCAGAGATGCCTATAAATATACCTCTACCAGTCTTTTCGTTCTTGAGAACTGTATGTTAACTATAGCACCAACGATTGTAGACACAATGGATATATCCACACAGCACGAAAACAGATATTTACGCCAACTTTACACAAAGAGAACTTGTAAATGTCACATAAATATAACGTGTTTCTTTCCGTGAATTTTAGAAGAACTTAAATGAAAACGAATGCTTTCCAAGGGATTCTCTTTAAAGGATATGGAAAGATCTTTCTTAACGCGCACGACGCCTTTAAACACCTAAAAGTCACGGAAAGGCACCGGAAAGTGGCCTTTTCGCACTCACGGAAAGGTGACGTAAAGGCAATCTTTACGTGCACGTACAGGTGACGTAAAGGAGAAAGAAACAACGTCCCCTTTCCGCTAAGTTTAGAAGTGCTTAAATACCAGTTTTCGTGCCGTGCTAGAAATGCTGTAATAGCCAGTCACTGATCAAACGGTGAACACACAAGCACCAAAATGTCACAACGAACAATGGCTGCCTGTCAAAACACTTTAAACTGTTGATCCCACTTCAAATGGGTTAGAAACACGTCTGTTATATACCATCCTTGTGGTGCTATGAAGAATGACCTATCCTATCAAAAAACAATAAAGGCTTTAAGCGTAGGAGTCTGTGTGTCAAAATAGCTAGTTAAGACGCCTAATTATGCACACATCCTACTTAGTAAAGCTACAGAAACTCAGCATTTTTTTTCATGCACTCTCTGTAGCTTTTCGTTAAATGTCCAGCCCAGGAGTAGCCTGGTATCCAGTCTATTGCGGGGCAGGCTGTCTTCGGGGATCTGATAGTCTTTCCCCGTCCAGCTCAACAGGCCGCCCGGTAGGAGTGTTCTTACCGGGGAACCTAGCTGAGTCGGGCGGGGGAGAGCTTCTGCAGCCCCGAAGAGAACCCGCTCCAACCGCGATAGACTGGCCACCAGGCCAGCCCAGGAGGCAGTCTCTATTTTTTTTAAAGTCTTAAACAGCTACAGGCACTGGAAGGTGTCCGGGTGTGTTGTGAAGCACCGTTTCGAGACTTTACAGCTTGAGGATGCCGAGACTCTGTCCCCATATCCACGCCTCGTGACGCATCATGTTCCAGGACTCCATGGTCTCGCCGACGTTGAAGGCGGGCATGGCGGGGTCCTGTACCACCGGCAGCCGGCTGATGTGCTCCACACGGTACAACTCGGGGTCGTAGTAGTCATTCCAAGTCACTCTGAAAACCACACAAAGAACACGATGGCGGTTACTACTTGCAATACCTAGAATTGACTGCAACATGCATAGGAGGTAACCAATATAATTATCGATCTACGAAGAACGGTACCGGTTCTGGTGGTCATTTTATTCAATAAGTCATTCTGGAGCTTTCAAATATTTCTGTTTCACAGTTACGTGCAAAAACATGTATGGGAAATACTCCTAAATGCCCATCGGTTAAGAGATCAGAGTTCAGGGATCCAGCAAACTTGAGGCATATTTGCTCACGTGGCAATTGTTGACAGTCTAAGGTGTTCTATCGCACATAAATACCCATTGTAGTGTAGCTCTTTTCTACAATTGTTCTACTTAATTAGGATGTATACACATCTACAAGGCCAGATAATACTGTTGAATACAGGTATAAAAGACCTGGTGCTTGTGATACGAGTATCATGTTTTGTCGCCTCAATTCTTGTTTAACAATGTTTACGACCTTAAAATTTTGGAATCTTGTTTTTTGCCCGCCTTGTTTGTTTTTTCACCCTATAGCATTAGATTTAGAGTCTACGGAGGATGTCATCCATAGAATTTACTTGCCGTGGCCTAAGTTTATTGGAGCTGCGGTCATCACCATTTCTGCACCAAGGACAGACCATGGGTCCATGTGACCTACATGGTCTAACTTGTACCGCTGAAGCAACAAGGGACCAGGAGAGTTCGTCTTTCTCCTCGCTCCTAGTTGCTTCAGGAACAGTGGTCATCACCATTTCAGCACCAAGGACGGACCATGTGACGTACATGGTCTAACTTGTACCGCTGAAACAACAAGGGACCAGTAGACTTTGTGTTTCTAGCTCCTCGCCTCTAGTTGTTTCTAAGAACAGCGGTCATCAACATTTCAGCACCAAGGACGGACCGCGTGACTTACCTGCCGATGGCTCTGTCCAGTTTCTGCGACAGGTTGATGAACTCTTTCAGGATGTCCTCTTCCATCGGGGCTTCGTTAACATCCTCAGTGCTAAGGGAGGAAAGCAGGGAGGTATTTTTAGGGAAAAGCACGAACTTGGTCAAAATACACACACAACATGCTTATGGTATTCATAAACGGGACTTAGATATCTGAATGTGATTAAGCCGCATTTATTATAAAGTTACATTTTTAAAAGCAGTCGTAAATCGAATGCCAAAGACATGAACACAGTAGGGATCCTGGTATTCTTCAAAAAAACCTTTGATTTGATTTGATTTATTGGAATTGCAAATAATACAATACTCGTGGGCTACAGGCAGCGGAGGCTGGTGTTGTGGCCCACACACAAGACAATTTAACAACTTTTTAACTCATTACCCCCTGAGACACTATTTCCTGCTTATTGAGGAACACATTTTGTTAAGTTATGTTTTCCCTCTGTTACAGCTTCACTCTTAAGTCACATTTTCATCACAAGGTTCTCCCCAAAAAAAACACCCCTACGCTGGTTGTGTAGGGGGCTAAATCACAGCATATGGGGTTCTAATCTCAGAGTAGAGGCTCCCTACACTGTGATTTCGACCTAGCCTAGTGAGAGCTATGTTAAACCGTCTAATGCAGGTACACGAATAAAATATAGCTGGGTGTTTGTGAGAGGAGTACACTTACAATCTGCAAGCTTCCTCGTAGGCCTTGTGGACCATGAGCGTGAGCAGGTAGGAGTTGGGGCGCTTCTTCTTCTCCCCCCAGTCCACACAGTTACGCCAGTTCTTCACCATACGTACCACATCCTTCACCTGGGCGGGCAAAAATGTAAAAAAAAACAACTTATTACCTCCGGGGAAGGAGATATCCTTCCGCGAGGAGGTTTTACTATGGTTCGAAACATTTCTGTCAGCAGCTGTTTCTCGCGATCGGCTGGACGGATTTGTCTGTGGTTCGGTATACGTATTGCTATTGGGCTGCAGATGATGCAGAACGTTTTTGTTTAATTGCATATGTGTTTATGGGCGTACGAAATAAAAGGTTTTTAAGTGCTCCGGACACCCCCGCCATGCTGAAAATGGTAATTACCATGTTGTTAAGGAAGTGGGGCGGTTGCTAGGTTTTGGGTCTTAGCATTACGAAAAGGGGTACAAACAGAGGGGTGTCTGGTTCCGATAAAAATTTTGGGTGACGGCGCAGCAATGACGGCGCGGGATGACGGCGGGGGTAATGGCGCGGGTGACGGTGCAGGCTGTCAGACTGTGAGACACGTTAATCAACAGTCCATACCGAACCCACCGTCAGTAGCCATCAAACACATACAAACATATTACGCACATAACTTTCATACTACACACAAACAAATAACCTAAACCAATAGAACACAAAAAAACCCGGAGGTTTGAAATCTACGATTTCCCTTGTTACTGTTAAAAAGTGGGGTCGTGTGGCGTAGCGGTAGCGTCCTCGGCCCGGAACGAAGAGGTTCCGGGTTCGAACCCCACCTTGTCACCGATCTTGTACCCTTAGGAAAGACACTTTACACGACTTTCCTCACTTCACTCAAGTACAAATGAGCATGCCAGAATGATCATTATCATGATCGTGGGCATTTAAAAGAAAACCAAACCAAAACCAAAAGACTCGGGGTTGAAAACTCAATGCATGTGCTGTAGAAGGCAAACGTAGTAGACATTGGAACAGTCATAGCAACAAACAAAGATGGCGGCCCTTAAGCTAGTTCCTTGCAGACTGGATCCCAACGGCCACACTGACTTGATTTTATGAATGACATCTCTGAAGACCCCCAAACTAGTGTGCGTGGACGAATAAAAAAAATTTCCGCCAAAAATGCTGCTAAACGACAGGAAAACAAAGTTGTTGTTGTGAATTTGCAGTAGTGCATAGGGACTCTTATGACAAGCCGGCGCATGCTGGAAAATTTGAAAGTGTAGGGATCTTGCTTTTTGCCCGCCTTGTTTTTTTTCGCCCTTTCACATTAATTTTGCAGCCTGCGGAGAATGTCATTCATGAAATGTACTCGCTGTGGCCTAAGATTTACAAGAAACTAAACACTTACCACTTCTGGGAGTCCGGCAACCCACGCGTTCTGACGGCGCACGGCAGAAATGGCATAGCTGAAAAACGAGAAGGTATAGTGTCAGAACGTAGAAATGTAGATGGCGACTGAGAATATGCTGTTGAATTGCGCATTGCGATACAATCTGCTTATCGGGTCTTTGTACCCAGCTATTAATTCTAGAAAATATGGCATTGCGCTAGCAAATATATGCGCGGAAAGGAGATTCGTGCACTAGCCTCTACCAGGCTTCGGGAAGCGCGGAAATGTTCTCTTAGCGCGGACCAATTCCCACGGCATATGATCTGTCTATTTGGCCAATTTGTACTCTTTCCAGCCGCTTCCCAAAGCTTACTAGGGCTATTGAAAATAGATATTATTAACAAAGAACATCGCGCTTACTTTTGTTTCTTTACTCAAACATTTACTTTTACATTTACTTCTTTATCGCCATGACATGAGCCAAGAAGACGCGCATTATGTTTTTTTTTCTTTTTTTTTAAAGGCCGAAACGGGTAGGGAGAGCTGAAAAGATGTACGCGCGATCTTTTCCGCTCTCCTCACCAGTTTCGGGCCTTGGTCTCCCGGATCATCATGGCCTCGCGGTACAGGTGGTCGTAGTCGTGCTCGGTGTCTCCCCACTCGTGCGTGAAGTACATGTCCACGTCCACGTCCTCCACCATGAACTGTAGGGTGGTCTGGGAGTGGCCAACGAACGTCAGGTCGGGCAGCTGACCTAGAGACGGGGCAGAGGGGACGCTAGTTTCCATCTCATAAACGGACGTTGACATTTAGAACGGTCGATGCCATATCACAGAACGGCAAACTTTAAGTGTAGTTTTGTGATGTAGACAATTGTGGTTTTAGGATGAGGCTTTTTGACCCGAGTTCGAATATGAGCTTTTCCTTGTTTTTTTTTCACGATGCTGTCGTATACTTGAAATTGAAATATTGCTTTTTGTACGTTTTGAATGTTTTTTTCCTTCAAAGAAGTTATGGTACGCTAGGATATGGCATCGACCATGGAGCGTTTCGACGTTTACCAGACAGAAACGCGCAGAGGACACATGGGAATCCGTTGACAAGTACAACAGGATCTAGGCAATGTACAAAACGTCTTGCTAGTTAGACAGTTAACGTTATTTTTCCGTGACCGGTCCATGCAGGTTAAGACCATAGTTGACTTAGGTACCTTTGACAGTTCTAGGTGGGAACACTTATCTTTTGTGTTGGAAAAAAAAGGATGACTGTTAAATTCTATTGGCTTTCTGGCTAAAGCGGCGGGACTTAGCAAAAGTATAATTTTACCGGGTAACGTGATATACTTTTTTTTTTAACACTGTTTATTCAAATCATGAAAACAAGTACAGGTAGAAGTACATATACATACACAGCTACTTTTAACAACTTTTACAGCCATATCCCCAAAATACACGGACCAATCACAAAGAACAGTCACTAAAAAAGATGTCTAAATCACTTAGACACAACAGGTCTTTAGACTGCCCTAGATATCACAGATGAAGTTTCTTGACATTATTGTAGACTGAAGCTTAAATCTCCATGTACAATAAAGGTTTGTTTAATTATACCCTATTAAAGCCCGTATAAATACTCATGTTAAAACATGTTCACTTAAAGAGTCCTAGGGAGACATTAATTTCAAATATTTTCAGATTTCAGTAATGTGATGTAACGTGCTATACTTACCCTCCTCCAGGGCGGCCTTCTCCAGGATCTTGCGGTAGGCCACCACGGCAGACGGCAGCCACATCTCATGGCCACCCTTCGGGAAGTCTGTCGGAGAAGAGTGTGATGTTAACATTCTAAATGTACAGTAACAGTCCCAGTTCAGATAAATTGATATCAGTGTCGTTTTCCAATATTTTTTTTGCAATTTTCGGCACATATTTGCTCATTTTGCAGCTGCTTTTACGATTAAGAAAAACTTTTTTTGGAAACAGACGATAACTCATTCACGCGCGGATGTCATCCACATTATTCAAATCAACGCGGCCTTATGATGATACAAACTTAGCTATTATTGTCTGATCTTCCACATTATATTTGTTTCATCGACCTCCTCTTCATCTGAACCACTTGTGTTCGTATTAACTATAACATCTTAAGATGATAAAACTATCAAAGACATAATTTACAAAGAAAGATAAACTGGAAAGATTCTGTACGAACAAATAATTTAATTGAAACTTTATTGCATGTTCATTCCCCGGGGGGATAAATGCACAGATGTACAAAGTACAATGTACTAGAGAGTACTACAACAATAGTAATAAAGAAAGGCTAACATTAGGTCTAAAGTATACAATGCTAAAAATAAAATAAAAAAAGAAATATATATATATGAGTGATATTGATCTAAGTTCTAATGGCTTCTTCTCTCTTTTTGAAACATTTTTAAATATACTTACATACTTCATTGATGACGTCTATATTTGTACATGATATAATATATTTAAAAGTGTCTTCCTTTGATAATGTTTTACATTTTTTGTCATAATATGAAAGGGGTGCGGATGTCTATCTATATAATGAAATCAACATGGCCTTACTACACCTCAACGTGATTCAACACAGGAAGACAGTACTCACCGTCGCTCAGGACGACAATCTGGACGGCAGCGTAGGACGGCGCGGCGGTGCCCTGGCCGATAGACCCGCCAAGTATGATCTCAGTGGCTGGGACAGGCATGTGGGTCTAAGTAGAACAAAAAAATAAGCTTATTTCTAGAAGTGACCGTTCTTGTTCTAAGAAGGTAACATTTGCAAATAGATAATGTTCACCTTCACTCATCTTCACATGGTCTAGCCTTACAAACCACTAATCAAATTATTTTTTATTTAAACACATTCATGTACTAGTACATGTACATGGTGAACAAACCATCCAACTCTGTCCTGCTACATAATGTAACCCAACACCACAGGGTGTCTCTGCTAGTTACTATGGTGAGAGACGTCTGGTCAAAGTCATTGACCTTATGTGTTTAGAGTTGAAGAAGAAACGGGAAAAACAATGTTTTCCTTCTGCGAAGGTAAACATAATCAAAGAAGTGAAGACACACCTTAAGGAAATCCAGCACCCTGTCGATGACGCTTGAACGATGCTTACGCTCCACGTCGTCCACGATGGCGTCATCCAGGAGGATGTCGACGCTGTCTTCGTTCTTGCACTTGGCGTTCAGACGCTTGAACTCGTCCTTGGACTTGAGGGCGGGCGGGATGTACTGACGGCTCTCGTCCTTCTCGTACATGGCGGCGCCGGCTCGGATGCGCTGGTGAGGGGCGCGGCGGTTGAGGTCCTCCAGGAGGTAGTTCAGGTACTCCCTGGCGACCTTCTCGTTGGCGGGCACGTTGGTGATGGAGCGGACGAGCGGCTGACGGCCGGGCATCCTGGCGCGGCGCTCCCGGGCGGTCTTCCTCGCAGCCAGCTTCGCTGCACGCCTAGCCTGCTCGGTAGCATGAACGACGGCCTCGTCCTCGCTGCGGGTGCGGCGACGACTTTCGTCAGCTGCCTCCTCCCGCATCCTGACGCGCTGCAGGCGGGGGTCGGTGCTGCTGTCCACGCCAAGCTTCTCGTCGCGGAGACGCTGCCAGCGCTGGCTCGGGTCGGCAAGCTGAGATTTTCTCTTCGCCTCCTCCTCCGCTTTCTTCTTCATCTCCTCCTCCCTCCTTCGGCGCGCCTCTTCTTCCTCCTTCTTCCTGCGAGCCTCCTCCTCTTCCCGCCTCTTCCTCTCCTCCTCCTCACGCCGCTTGCGCTCCTCTTCCTCGCGCCGCTTACGCTCTTCCTCCTCCTTACGCCTGCGTTCCTCCTCCTCGCGCCGCTTCTTCTCCTCAGCCTCACGCCGCTTACGTTCCTCCTCCTCCTTACGCTTGCGTTCGGCCTCCTCTCTCTTCCTCCTCTCCTCTTCCTCGCGGCGCTTTCTCTCTTCTTCCTCACGGCGCTTACGTTCTTCCTCCTCCCGCTTGCGTCGGGCCTCGAGTTCCGCAAGACGGCGGGCTTCCTCCTCCGCCAGGCGCGCCTCCTCAAGAGCCTTCTTCAGCATTTCTTCCAGCTCCTTCTGCTTCTTCTTTTGCCTCTCGGCTTCCGTAAGAGCCTCCTTCGAGGTTTCGAAGTGAAACTCTTCGCCGGGTTTTGCACCTGCAGGTGCCTTCTTGATCCCTGGGGATTTGGCGGCGCCCAGTGGTTTTTCATCTTTCTTCGCCGGTTCGGCTTTGGCGCCGAACTTCTTGGCGGCAGCTCCCAAAACCTAGAAGATTAAAAAAAACGCAGTGAGTGTATTTATTCAGGCATAAAACAGAGGAGGCTACATACGTATCCCACAATACATTGCGGTTTCTGGTCTTCCGAACATATATACGGTTTAACCTGAAATTCCACGGTTATTTTAACGCATGGCATGCAAGTAGGTGTGCGCTTTTCATTTTTGTTTTCATATCACTTGGGCATACTAATAAGTTCTATTCAATTTCGCACACGTAATTTTAGCACGAGCAAAGACCAAGGTAGGCCCGGAAAATATAACACTGACAGAACACATGAGACGTAATACACGACAGAACACTGGCCACTTTAGATTTTGTGTTTTAGTGCTACTGTAATTTGAAAATTCTAATTAACCTTTAGCCGTAGATGCAATGGTTTATTTTGGCTGAATGTGCACTTAACGTTTTACATGCAATTCTCAAGCTCAGTATTTTTTTTAAAGTATTAAGAATTTTTTTTTTAAATTAGAGTTATGAAACGTTCCAAAAGTTCCAACGTGAGCTCAAAGTTTAAAGAGGTCAGTGTGACATGAAGGAAACGAGGGTTGCATTCGACAGGGGAACCCCTGGCCTTGGACGTGTACATTTGCCTGGAATTGTAGTCAGAACTAAAGAGGATCAGTTAATTTTAGGCCACATGTTGATTTGATTACTAGTGTATGCATAAATTTCCGTCCGTTTCCAAATAATAAAAATAAAACAAAACGCCTTCGCCCATACTGTACATCGTACAAAGCAGCTGCAAAATGAGCAAATATATTCCGTAAATTGCAAAAAAAAATATCGGAAAACGATACTAATGTCGTAAAATTCCTAAATCAATTCCAAAGGAAAAAATGCGAAGGAATGAAAATGAAGAGTCTATTATTCGCCATGCCATACTCAATGTCTTCAGTCATTTGTTCAACATTCATGGACACGTAGATTTCATAATGAAGGCAGCTTTTTTTTGCCAAAATTCAATTTTTATTCACAGGCTCGCATCAGTTTCGGGCTCATATAATCAAATCAATATGGCCTTATACGAACGTCGTTGGAACACACTGAAAACAAAGACAGGACACCCATAGCACGGACGACAGTAAGGCCATGTTGATTTGATTATATGGATGACATCCTCCGGGAGCCCCAAAACTGATGCGCGCGTAGCGAAAT